TTCTTTCATTGATGTAAGTTTGGCAACGTCGTGCGTGCAGTAGTTTTAATTGTGTATAAGTAAATAACTTTTTATTTAAAAAATCACGGGATTTTTCTGCTCTTTAAAATTAATCTCGGGATTTGAGGAATATCCACTTTATTCTTTCGCTGTATGAAATCAATGTAAGTACATGAATAACTCTACCTAATTCCGACCACTGGTCATGACCTAGCCATTAATTTGATTTTGGAAGTAGTTAAAAAAGTAACTTCAAAAAATCTCAATAAGTGAAAAAAAAATGTTAAGATCTTAAAAGCAATTCATAAAATTATTTAACAACATAATAATAATCTAACCAAACTCTTTTAAATGACAAAGTTCATTCAGATTTTTTAAAGATTCATTTTCCTAATTTTGTATAAGAGATTATTTCGAAAGTATACCCTTGTTTCGGTAGGTTTATAAATCTTAATGCGCAAGTATCCTGGCATTTCCACAGAAAATCTCACAAATATTATATAATGTAATTTTTTTTAGTGTATTGGTTACTCTTTCTCGCAAAAATTAAGTTTACGAATAATAGCCTAGAGTAATATTTAAGCTATTTTTAAACGCAGCAAACGATTCTCTAGTTTTAATACATATATTTATATTAACAGTGTCTTTTAATATACAAAGAGGTAACATAACAATAAGTATTGTAAATTCCTTTGCTAATAAAATAAGAAGCGTTCTTGGAAGTTAACTCATTACAGGCAACACAATGTATTTGTGGTTAACGTGTCGTTATTATTTGAGTCACGATTGTTATAAATTTTTCTGGTACTATACAATTTTAAGTTAGAACAATAACAAATCGAAAGCTATATAATGTATCTACTCATTTATAATTTACATAAATATCGGATCTTATTTTTTCTGCAAACCATACTCAATGCAAGGTATTATATTTAGAAAAAAAAATCTACACGAAGGTTGATAAATTTTTCCAGACATTTTGACCAAAGAGAGTATTCTGAACAGTTTCTTTTTTCAAAATCTGATAACATAAAAAGTGACAACCTTTTTTTAATTATTTTTTATATCCAACCTTTTTACATTCAGAATAAAAAAGTGGTAAGCTATTAAACTATTTGTACAAAGTTCACATAAGCATGGATTTCATAGAATTGGATGTTAAATATCTGTCTGGGTAAATATAATATGTTTTTTATAGCATGTACAATTTTAGATTTTTAAGAAATAGAATATTACTACGACCAGGATCTCTTTCATACAAATGCTTGTCCTACTTAATCTGATCATCCATCTATGTGATGATGTCTTATAAATATAATATATATAAATAAAAGAAAAATGTCAAGTATACCATTTCCTACTTATCCACCATTTTCCATTGTAAAATTCAAAGATGGCGTCTAACTAAAAGTCACAAAATTTAAATCTTTTGTAAACTGCATTGAAAATTAATTAAATGTGTCGTAACGTACTTTCATCTAAATTTGGTTTAAATAGAGTATGATATTTTTAGAACATGAACATGAAGTTAAGTAATTTTCAAGGAAATTGTATTTTTTTTCTCGTATTGAATTATACCTATTACTATTTTTGTAGGTTTGTTCAGGTGCCCATATTTGCTTTTATATATGAAATATTTATACCTATCTATATAAGTAGGTAGTCTACTTATATAGATAGGTATAAATATTTCATACGCAGAAAAGTTCAAACTGCAGACCAGACCAACTCCAACAATGACCGAACGTACAAAAAAAAATAGCATTATTTCTATAACCGTAGGTATCGGTGAGTAGGTTGGTGGCGTAGTGGATAAGCGCCGCGGCCTGTGATCGTTTTGTTAAGCAACTTTCGCAAGGGTCAGTTACGAAGTGGGTGACCAAGTCGTTAATACCCTCCAATCCGCATAGGAAGGCCTGAGCCCCTGCAAGTAAAAAATACTGTCTCACTTGCGGGAGGGGTTAGGCGATGGCGTGTAGACTTAAAACATTTTGATTGGTCGGCATTTAACGCGCTTCAAAATTTATGGGCAGGGACATCAGTGAGACACATAACTTGTATCTTACTGAGGGCCTAGTGTTTGTTTTTTTTTTAATATTTTTGTTCGTCTTCGATCGTGAGGGTTAAGATTTTAGTATGTAATCCGGTACAAAGCCCCTAGCAATAACTATCAAGAACTACATATCTCCATACAAAATCGAACGTGGTTACTAGTGTACGTACATAAAACTTACACTTGGCATTCTTTAAATAAATTATACACAAATCGTATGCCCACATCAGAGTGTAGGAGTGCTTGGAAACAGCGCAGTAATTAATTTCATATTGCTATTGTTGTGAATATCAAAATCATTTTATAATACCTACCTATAATTACGATGATCATTCGTGGGTTTTTCGTTAGACAAAAATCTCCCACGAACAAAAACTAGTATGTGCAAATTTGCTAAATCCGGCTGATCTGCCGTTAGCGCCTCACTGTCGGACGCGGAGTGAATTGAAATAAGTAAGATTTTGACATTACATGCATAGATGGGTATTTTCAATGGAAGCTCGATAGTCATCTCTACGCTCAAAGCTCGAATTCACTTGACAAATACAAAGTTGCAAAGTAGTGATTGAATTGATGGTAAAATATTCGAAAACTGTATAATGTCTCGTTACTTTCCTTTTCTAAGTAGTTTAAAAGAAGCATATACCTTAAACATAAACACCAGTCCACGTTAAGGCGATAATTTTCGACGCTTAAACATGTTTAGGCGAATTATGAATTAACTATGAGATTAGGTAAATGTGTGAAATCTCCTATTAGAAATAAGGCCTGAAAGATCCAGTATACTTGCTATTTTTGTTGTCGCTACAGATTTTAAGCAATTTACATAAGGACCGATCATAGGACATTAAGATATAACTTTTTACACTTTTAATTGTAAAAATTCAGTTTATTCCTTCCGATAAATCAAAAAAACTCCAAACTTAACTACAATATTTAATAGCGCTCCTAATTTGACTTTCCGCCAAAATACAATATCGACGAAACAACAACAAAACTTATTTCAATTTTCAACCCAGCCACAATTTTCATAATCTCATCTATAAATGGCATTGGCGTCATGGCTATTTGGCCACAAACCACTGCAAAAAATTTTTTCTTTAATGTTTTTCAATATTTTATAATGAATAATGTACATTATAGTATTTAAATGAGATATTTTTTGTGTAAACTGATATTTTAATTGCGTTTATTAATTGTATAAAGAAGATTTATCGTTGACTAAATTTACGGTAAAATTTAAATCTTAACATTAGTCCAAATTCATATTATACAGAGAATAAGTAAATATTACTCCCGTAGAGCCTCGTACTAGGTTAACCTTTGCTAAGTCTCTTTACTAATATGAATTTTGATTAATACTAAGTGCAGTCTCAGCGTAAATTTACTCCAAAGCTAAACCTTATTTATCAATAACGCTGTAAAAGTATAACTAAATCTGTACCAGCATTATGAAGCTAGTATATCCTCTTAATTAAATATTACAATATATGCGCATACATTAAGAAACCACAGGTCACTTGCATACATTAGATAATTTTATGCTATTCACTTACAGATATGTATGACAGTAAAAGATATTCAAGATATTTACATGGTAAATGAATAGTATGAGACAAATATGTTACGATGTATCATCAAATAAAATCATTTGGAATAAATGTTCATTCTTAAATTTTATGATATGATAAGATGTCATTATCTTGAAAAATACAGATGTAGCGAAAAGGAAACGATAAAAATCTAAATGCTGGTTTGCCCAATCCGAAACTAATCTTAATTCATCACCACATCATCACCAGCCCTTTTACGTCCCCACTACAGGGGCTCAGGCCTTCCTTATGGATGGTTAAGGAGGATAGGCCATGACCCTCCACGCTGGCCCAATGCGGATTGGAGGGTATTAACGACTGCAAATGCAGCCGGGACCAACGGCTTAACGTGCCTTCCGAAGCACGGAGTAGCTCGAGATAATTTTTTTTTTTTTTTTTTGGACACCCATCCCGTGACCGACCCTTGCGAAAGTTGCTTAACGACAACGATCGCGGGCCGCGGCGCTTATCCACTACGCCACCGAGCTACTCTTCTTCTTCTTCTGCAATCTTAATTAGTGTCCTGGCAATTAATCTGCAGGCCTGATACATTATTCACGACTTCATTTTGACAGATCCATCAGGGCTTCAGATATACCGAAGAACTGACCGTAGCAGACGAGACAGCTATATAGTATACTAGCCCTCCGCCAGCTGCTTCGCATGCGTGCTCGAAATTTCATTCCATATAAATTATCCCCCCTATTTCATCCTCTTGGGGGTTGAGTTTCTAGAAATCCTTTCATAGTGCTCATTTGCATCACGAAAAGAACCCCTGTACCAAATTTCTACGTGCAGTAGTTTTGACTGTGCGTTGATATATTTTCGGTTCAAAACGGTTGGTACGGCTCAAAACTAAATAGTAGAAGGGCTCAATGGCGTGGTGGTAGTGTTCCTACTATTACTGCTGAGAGTCGTGGGTTCGATCCCCACCCAGGACAAGCATTTTTGTGACTAACAATTATGTCTGTTCTGTGTCTGGGTATTTTCTATTTATATATATATATATTTGTATTCCCCCCGTTGTTTCTAATATCCGAAAAAAAAGTGCTCAAGCTTACCTCGGAATCGGATCAATGTGTGTGATTTTGTCCTATATTTATTTATTTTATATTAGTCAGTCAGGTTTGATTATATCTGCCAATCTTAAATCTAAGCTGCCAACTTAGAATAATAACTGAGGCTGCCAATGATGTTCCTCAACATTTTTCTTTGTATTTCGGAACGTCGACTAAAACTTATTCTTCTTCTTCTTTTTAATTAATGGCGTTGCCCTAACCTTATTCTTCTAAGACTAAACCTCTAACAGTCATACGTGTCAAAATGAAAGCAACATAAATACAAACTGCCAAAAGATAAGAAGACCAAACAAAAACTTGTAAAGTAGAATATAAACTACAACATAGCATAAACGCAATGAAAATTGAAAAGGTGTAAAAACAATTAGTGTGTTCGGAATTTGTAGAAAAATTGGTTAACAATTTAAATGTGTTGTGAACTATGGATCGATTCGTACGCAATTTTAAGGAGTGGACTGGTATTGGTAGGAGACAGAACCCTGAGGTAGCGAGGAGTCATTACTCGTTGGTGTCGACAACGGAACTGACTGCAGGCGCAGTTGAACTCTGGAACGGATTGCCGCCTGAAGTCAAATATGACCCATCCCTGGCATCATTGCAACAGCTCTACGAAAAAGAACATGGTAAGTAGACTTTTAATTATGTAGAGCAAAAGTGCGAATATCTGTGTAAACTTTTATAAAATAGGTAACAACAAAAGAAATGGCGACAAGATGGCCTGATAGAGGACACTTGAATAAGGACGCGTGGGGCTGTTGCATCTTGAATCTGAAGAGGTACTGACGAGTAGGGTGTACTTCTCCATGTCTTTTTAGGGGTACATTCAACGCCGACACTGATATATAGGCCATATAACAACTTTCCTGATAAATAGGAACCAACGATATTAATTCATAAATGAAACAATGTTTGTTTTCAGTTTTATTGACGTTTCGGACCCCGTAAAGGGACCGTTTGCATAGTGCACGTGAAAATATAAGAAATCAATACGATATCAATTTGCTGATACATCCGATATAATTTGAATTTCGCGCGCTACAAATAACACATTAGGTTGAACATCCGTTAGTTCTTTTTAATTAGGAATATTTAAAAAATCCCCAGCCTTAGGTATTATGAGATAGCACTCAAACCCAGAACCTATCGCAGTCCGAGCGACTTATGAATTTTTCACACTCTTGTTACTTTTGAACCTTTTAAATGGTTAGAACAGCGCCCGGATTGTGTGGGTTTGAGTCCCATCTCAGAATGCCTGAAGCTTTTGAAATCTTTAAGCATTTTTGATTAAACATATTTATCAGAATTAAATTGTAAAATTAGTCAAATATATAATAATCTGTTAGTGAGTTTTCAACTTCATTACAGTCATACTGAAAAAGGATTTTTTTTTTACTAAATGTATATACTTATTTTTTTATTTTTTGCATAATCAATAAATTATGGCGGTTTTTTTGCCCGGACGTCATCCCTATTGTTTGTTTGTATACAATGATATCTGACTAATATTTAGAAGCCAATCATCGAATCGAATTTTAAACGTCTCGAAATAGAATGAACTGATTTCTTCACAGAGCTCCTCATTGGCGATTTGGAACATTGTCAAAAGTAATAAAAATACTAGTATTAAAGCAATTATTGCATCAATCTTAAAGAAAAAAATTGGAAAAACACCAGCTATTGCGACCTTGAGTTTTTTGCTCACACTTTTTAGTAACCTTATTTTTTTTACAATATCATTATAAAACAGAATAGACACAATTAGACATTGTTTGTTCATTAATATGTTTTATAATAATAATGGTTTGGTCTTTTATATTTCCATAGGCTCCCAAAATACTGGACCGATCTTAAAAATTCTTTCATCAACGGATTGTTACATCATACGTGGGACGTGGATAACATAGCTTAATCATTTACTCGGGCGAAATTATAAAAAGAAATGCTTAAAAAAACACTTTGTCCCTGGCACTCTGACATGGGACTCGAACCCATGACCTTTAGCACTTCGGGCGACTGCTGAATTTATGTTAGAATAAACACATTACCCTCCTTTACGTCGCGCAGTCGGGTAAAAAGAGTTTAACACGTTCGCTGCGCTGTGAGGTCATATTGACCCAAGTTGAACTTTCAACCAGTGCGCGGAGCAAAATGACGCTTTTTCCCCTTGTGCAAATGGCAAAATTATACAAATTCTCAATGGAAGAAAGAGACAAATATACTGTTATAAATATACTGTTACTAGCTTTCCGCCAGCGGCTTCGCCGGGGTGGCACTATGTTATACATAAAAACCTTCCTTTTGAATCATCCTATATATTAAAAGCCGCATCTGAATACGTTGCGTAGTTTTAAAGATCGAAGCATACCAACATAGGGACAGACAGAGAAAAACTACTTTGTTGTATACTATGTGTCGATACTAATATTATAAAGCTGAAAATTTGATTTGCTTAATTTCGGGAACTAAAAACGGGAAAAGCATTCAGGCGAAATCGCTGACGAAAAGCTAGTTCATAATTCGCATCAAAAACAATATTATGCATTTATAACTGTCTGGAAATTTGTGATTTTCCTCGGTTCCGTTTTAATTATCGTACCGTTATTTTTTTTGTTGAAAATAAAGACTTTGCCGAAATGCCTGCCTATATTCTTTGATCTATCACCGCCATTGCTCTTGGTTATACCTATTGTATTATATAAGTTTTTTAGTACAACTTAGTCCTATTAAAATGAGCTTAAAATATTTAATGGCATAATTTTTTATAACAATTGTCATTGAAACTAACGTTAACTATATAAAAATTGCTATAATTTTATGAATCACGACGGTCATTATATGTTTGTAATGACATTTTGGCATTATATCATTATTTTTAAATAGACTTTGTATATACCGACATAGTTTTATTTTTATTCGCCAATGAGTGACGTAATTTCTTGTTGTTATACGTAGTTAAAAACCTCAACCCTCTGTCTGTCTGTATGAACAGTACAAAGTTTGTACCATATCACAGACCATATGTAAAAATTCTCCATAATTTCCTTGCTTTGGGTTACTCTCTTTTAACTCCACCATCTTCTTCCAAAAACGTTATTGAATTAGGGTTGAATACATTTTACCAATTAATATATTTTCTCAATTTTACATTCACAATGCTATACTGATGTTATTTTTTTTTTCTATTCTGTAGTTGCGATAGAAACTTAAGTTATAAATATATTAACTAGCTGTATACCTACGACTTCGCCAGTGTTAATTCCCTTTTTCCGTAATATTCTCTCTTTTTGTACCGTTCATCGTAAAAAGGCACTCATATTTTAACCAAACTTTAAATACGTATCAGTAAAACTGAATTAATGAGAAACGTATTTAACCGACTTCAAAAAAAGTGGTTCTCAATTTGACGTATGTATGTATGTATGTTTATGCACGATTGTCTCGCGGATTATGACGCGGTTTTCAGTATAGTATTTCTCAGACTTAAGAGAAGATTTAAGGTATATTAACCGACGGAAAATGGAGGTCCGCACTTTAACACGGTTTGGACGTGGTTTTCGTTATATTTAGTATTTGTAAATTTTCCATACACTGCAAGTTATATATTGGAGATGCCATAAAATTTTATAAACGTTTCAGGTAAAGCGGACCTTCAATCGAAAGCAAGAAACGGCGTGTCCAAGAAGCGTCTACCCTCCGTCAGTTCAGCTCCCCATTTGAACAACAACATAGTACGTCCAGAAGCCAATGACAACCGAGACCAACATGTCGGCATCGAGATTAATACCATCTGCAACGGTGAGCGCAACATGTAAGGAACCAGGCCTCTTTCTTTTTTTTATTGAAATTTAGCAAATTAGTTCTTGGTATTTATATTTAATCAATTTTTCATTCACAGTGCTATACTGAAAAAAAAATCTTTAAGATAAATGCTTAAAAAAGAGGATTATTTAAGCATTTTTCTTTAAAAATATTTTTCATCTCTAATTATCATAAAAACTGCCTCAGCGCTGTTCATTATTTTCCCAGCAACCAACCTAAATACTTGTAAACGTGTAACACACACACACACTCACTCAGTTGTAGGGTTCCCTACCAAAAGGATTAAACGGAAACGGGAAACCCTATTACTAAAACTTCGCTGTCTGTCTGTCCGTCTGTCACTAGAGTGTATCTCGTGAAACGTGAAAGTTAGCCAGTTAAAATTTTCATATATAATATATTTCTATTGCCACTATAATAAAAAATACTGAAAAATAGAATAAAATAAATATTTGAGGGGGCTCTCATACAACAAACGTGGTTTTTTGGCTCGTTTTCGGTATGGAACCCTAAGTGCGCGAGTCCGAGTCGCACTTGTCCAGTTTTTTCTTTGTGGATTATTATTTTCTTACATAAGAAGTATCAAAGCCCGTCCTACCGTTGAACGATAAGAATAAGAAACAATTCACCCTCTACTCTCCCTAAACTTGCATAATAAACGGATGGTTCCTCACGAAGGAAACCCTAACGTATCTAAACATGGTATTTCTTCTTTTTAGGCATGACCAGACTACAAACAAAAAACCATCAAAGGTGTGTACATATTTCATAAGCACAAATCAAAGTTACCGATCTGCAATTTTCTTTCTTTTTTTAAAGTGGCTGCTAGTAACAGTCATATCTGGAACATCCTATTTGAAATTTAATTGGTCCACTGTTAGTGCAACGAAAGATTTATGATCCAACTACATAAAAACCATCTTAAATTGCTACTAACCAGAGTTCGGAGTGCTAATTATCATGATAATTATAAGACACTACACAAACTGTTTTTGTAATTTAGAACTTGTTATTAAAGGGGAATCACCTTTAAACAACTATCAAAAATTGTCTAGGATGGATCTTTTAAATAAATATTAAAAGCTTCCTTTTTATTAAAAATATATATATGTTTATTTTCATTTTACTTTTTGTTCAATGTGATTTCAGAGTACATTTTTTTATTTGTATATTTTTTATAATTTAAGATAACAAATAAAAGTTTATTCACTTATGAATGCCTTTCTGTATTTAAAAAACATTTGCCCAGTAACTATGGATAATTATCAGATATTTATCACGATAGTTATCTTGATAATTACGAACCCTCCTACTAAAGCAATAAACTGTCAAAGATAATATCTTCATTGCGACCAATGATCACGAATGTGATCTGAAAAAAAAAACATTTTAATAACACCATCAATATTATTAATGCTAAAAAGTATCTTCCATTTTCGAAACATTCTTCAACAGATGGTGCGAGCGAGAAGCTGGATAAAGATGACAATGCTGTTGGCATGTTGGGTTTTCTTCACTATAGCATTCATAATGTACAGTGAAAAGGTTGAAGAGACGCGAAACACATTTGTGGCTCCAGGGGAGACTAAAAGTAAGGGTATTTATTAGATAATTTCACATTTCCGCTAACGTTTTAAGATCAGACTGGGCGCCAAGATAAAAGAGAAAATTCACGCGCTCGTCAATATGATAGATAGGGACAGAGGATAGCGTATTGCTGATCAAAATTATTTCAATCTTAATCATCGAGCAATACGCAATAATTCAAAAGTACTTTTAGACTGGCATATATATCATTTTATTTATCAATTAGATCTGAAATAAGGAGATAGCATAAACCCAAAAAACTTTAAAAATAGATTAAAACAACATTTCATCATCGAACTGTAACATCCTGTATGTTGGTACTGCGTCTCGCTATCCTTCCTACCTTCCTACGAGAATCGACCCGCTTGCCATATATTTTTATTATTCTATATTACCCGGCTGATGATCTCGATCTACCCACCAAATGTTGATTTTATAATTTTAATTGTATGGCATGAATTGTTGAATGTATAATAATTATTTTATATTATTTTATTCTATATTACTTATTCCTAATATAAACCTTGGTGATTGTTTGTTGAATAAGATGATAAATAATTGATAAATATGTAAGTCTCTTTGTAACTGAGGGCTGTTAGGGCTTTTACAATAATCCCAATGTTTAATAACTAATAATAAATATACAATTTTTTTGCGTAATTAGCTATCTTGTGTCCCTATCAATCTTATTGTAACATGGCAGTCTTCTGTCTTTAGCTCCAACCTCGAATAACAAAAAATCCAATCCTTAATTTAATAATTGACAGCATAATCAAATCACGACGGTAATATTAATAGCTTTCCTGCCTTAGGTTACATACTACAAATACCAGATAATGAGCTGTCGCTGTTGTTGAAATTATCTGGACCGTTCGTGTCGGAACAGGCGGAAAGCATGAATAACTCAACAGAAGACAGAATCCAAGTGTGGCTGGAGAGGTGGACGTTGAAGAACAATGAAGGGACAATAAATGAGGATAACGTTGGGATAGTAGAGGTACTGAAATAATTTCAAGGGATGAACGGCAGGATTTTTATCAATATCCTCAACTTGTTTAGGTTAATATCAAAAATATAATTCGCAACGCAAACGAATGGTAAATCGTTATTTCGGCTGTAATCGGTGTTGCTTTTGAAGCTCACTTCAAAATCCTGTCTTCATCATAATATTCCAACACATAAATATCACCAAAAAAGATAGCTCATTATTAGCAATTAGACTTTAGCTAGATTTGCTATGGTAGCCTCCTTAAATCCAACTAGAATTATAGTAAAAACTTGGGAAAAGAAGCCATAGGACCACATGCATCTAAGCGATGTTCTGGCGATGTGTCTCTTATTTTTTACTTTGGTGATGTACTTTGTAGAGCCCATCAAGTATTTCTATTTCCCGAACATCTTAAGTTCGTCATGCTATACGTGCAGATATGAGTTCTTTTATAAGTTTGTATAAATTTTGGTAGGTACTGAACAAAATTTCTTGTCGCTAATGGATTTGATTAAGTGTCTGCAAGATAAGAATATGATTAGTTGAAATGTGCTGATTATTTGCTTTTTCTTGCATGTATGTATATATTAGTTAACTAGCTGTATTCCCGTGACTTCGTCCTTATAAGTTGTAACTCATGTCAACCGCGTATGATGTGGATCTTTTAGGAGAAAGAGTTTTTATGACCGGCTTAGTGTTTCCGAAGATTACCTTTGTAGGCGTTAGGAACTTTATTATAGGTATTAGTTTAGATTAGTTTAGCGCCGAGTATTTAGGATCCCAGTCCCTTTGATTCGTACTTCTTTCGCAAGACGCCAGCCCGCGTTCCTCCTGCCGCGTATTTACAACACATTATGTCGCAGAGTAGATTTAAAAAGAATTATAACTCGGCAGGCGAAACGCGAGGTTAAATTCTTCCTGAGGGATCTGGACTACGCAGAGACAGAAGAGCTAATATCAATACCTTCTTAGGTAAAATTTCCAGTACAACGGCACTCCTATCTACACTTATACACAAACAGACACACACACACACACACACACACACACACACATACACACATACACACACACACTCACACACAAACACACTCACACACAAACACACACACACTCACACACACACACACACACACACACACACACACACACACACACACACACACACACATACACACACTCGCACACACCCACGCGGTCAACACTGACTCAAACTATATAGTTCAAAGAATAAAAATAAAGAATACTGTAGTTCCGTATTATATAGTTCCATATTTTCCTAAATTATAAACTAATATTGTTAAAAAATAAAACAAAAAAAAAATAACTTTCAACTTAATACAATTTAAACCGTGCGCCTTGTAATTTGAATGTGAGTAAGAATGTTTTTTTTTTTTTTTGGTCGCTACAAGCCAAGCTTTGCTTAGTGTAGGGATCGCTAGAATTAAGCACAGTTTGTTAAACGTTTATTGAAAATAAAGTTATTCCTTCACCATATTATAACTTCACCAACTTCTAAATTTTTAGAAAAGTCAAGCCTGGTTTATACTACTCCAACCAGACAAAGAACTGGACTTCAACACGGGAGAAGAAAGAACCCAAGTGCTAAGACTAACCTCCAATAACACAGAAACTAATCAGAGCAGTGTATATTCTTTACGGATGCGATCAACAGCTATGCAAACCACGCCACTGACTATGAAGTACACGGTGGACCCGCTAGATAGCAGCACCGGCGTTATATACGGCTGCTTATTGTTGTGTGCGTTATACGGGCTGATCATTTTTGAGGTGAGTTTTGTTTATTATAATAAATAATTCTACCTATAATTTAAATATTTATTTGTTTTTGTTAGGAAATATAACAGCTATAAATACAGCAGCAATTATAAATACATCTATAAACCATTTATAAGTTTTCACTTGAGGAACGAAAAAATAACGCTAACATAAGTATTATTGATCGACATAAGGGTTGTCCGCGACCGCGTTATAATTGTAGGTTTTGTGTTAAATATGTCTATTGAAGGATAGTTGTTAGCAAAGTCAAAGTAAATGATTAGATAGAGATACAGGGTGGTATATTGCGTGTCCAAAACTGTTTTCAATTACATAATATTAAACCTTCAATTACAAAGTATATATTTTATTACTTTTTTGCAATAAAAAGGAGCGTAATTAGAATTTGAAATCTTGAAAAAAATAGTGATTTGTTGCAGGGTTGAAGTATGTATATGTTAGTAGGAGGATTTAATGATTTTCTTCTGTAAAATAAATTATATAGTGTCGCGTTTATGCGAATGTACCTATATTGATGCCGTATGTACATACTCTATTGGTGACCAATACCTATCGGATACCTATCATTATATTGGTGACCTATTTACTACTCTTCCTTCTGTATACTTCAGTTTACATGTTAAGTCTTCAATCTCCGCCATATACACGTATATATTGTTAATACCCATTAATCCATACTGATCTGCCGATAAAAGACAGAATACCCGTTTTTGACCAATGCCCAATTTCACCCATTTACCTTATTCACCCATTTCTAACTAACGCATAGGTAAAATTACTTTACCATGAATGGTTTTCAAATGTTGCATTATGCCCAAACTAATACCGCTAGCAACTGTGTCAAAGTTCACTTTCTCTTAACTCTTAAAAATCCAAAAGTAGGTTATAATCATAAAATGATCAAAACCGGATCATCTGACCTAGGTTATTGCATATTTTCTGTGTTTCTATTTGTTATACCGAATACAGTTTATAGTTTGAACACAGTTAGGTATAGCTGTTATCTTATCTCAAGCAAATTAAGGTAAATTTATCCAAGCTTGACAAATGTTTACTGACGGCACGGCACAACGACTTTTAAGTCAGTCGCTATCTCAAAAAAGGTTTGATATGTAACTTTCACTTAAAGATCACATTTGTAGCAGTTTCTAATTTGGTTAGGATTAAATTTTGAGATGCTGGTCAATCGAAAAGTACGGAAATGATAATAGAAGTAGGTCATATGTCGAAAAACGATATTTAAGATGACTCTGATGTCCTAATAATCACTGCTGGGAAACACGCCTTCCCTAAGGATAAAATCAAAAAGAGAGAACGCAGTAGCCAACCACGCAGGTCCATTGCATTGTTGAGCGTTAACACCTGCAGATGCAGCCAGGACCAACGGCTAAACATGCCTTCACAGGAGGAGCTCGAGATAGTAATTTTTTGTTTACTCATCTTATGGTTAGTCCTTGTGCCAATTACTTTACCAGACAGCATATCTTTGTAGCATCGTTAAAATTTCTGACACCACTAAGTCAAAATTCATAAAGAAGCTTTTGATCCACTTACAAACATATAAAAAGAACTCGAATTCAATGATGCAAAAAATTATCTTAAAAGATGGAGATTACCCAAAATTTAAAGCGCCTATAAGATGAGTGTTATATTTCAGGTTTTTATGTCTTTTAATTTTTTTTAGAACGAATTAAAAATCATATATTTTAAAAGGCACTTTACGATTCGCAGATAAACATAAAATTGCATAGCCACATAGAATACATAGAATTTGCCTGCAGTTTGAATTCGGTTGAAAATAAAACCTTTTGAAGGGTAAAAGGCAGATGATTACACAATTTATATATCACCAGGTCATAAACAGAACTATGGCAGCTGTTATTGTATCCACGGCAGCATTGGGAATACTCTCGGTGGTTGGGGAGAGACCTTCGTTGCCGGAGCTGGTGTCCTGGTTAGACATGGAGACTCTCCTGTTGCTGTTCAGCATGATGTTGCTCGTGGCCATCATGGCGGAGACGGGGATGTTCGATCGCCTAGCTGTTTATACGTTTGAGGTAATTTTTTATAAATAAAAACGTTTAAAGGAGAATCGGAATCCAACTGAAATATATATTTATGTTAAAATTATAAAAACAATGATTATATTTGAGATTTTCACAAATAACCCTTTCAATTCAGCCTCCTATGCATGAAATTCATTGTTTACATTGCACTGCCATCTTTGGATCCACTTACTTGGATAATATATATGTACTTAACAACTTTTTATATACGCCCTTCAGTTTTTGAGCCAAACAGATATGACACAAAGTACACAAATGCCTGTTTATGTAGTCTGTGTCACAAACTGACAGACGTATGATTCTTAAGAATTCCGTTTTTGAGATACTCCCGGAACTCTAAAAATGAATCGCCTAACGTCTTGTTAATTACTAAACACACATTATAAATGAAATATTAAACAACCAGATTGACAAATTTGACACCTACTATCTTGGACATAAAGAATATATTAACATGTTTCTGTAAAAGGAGGTTCGGATGGATATTTCGTAAAGCCATCTTAATAGCTTACGTAAATCTTTTACATCATTTAATCTTGTTTCCACACAATCTTGGGATTATTTAATTTAATAATAAACTCTGTTTAAATATTAAGAACCATCAAAATTGGTATCACTTGTAAAAAGCCGAAGAAAAATTCTATTTAACATTTTTATGATATGATATTTACGAAATTAATTGTAAATAAAATTATTAAGTCGTTTAGAAGGTTATTCATTATGAGCTAACGAGTTGTTTACGTCAAGGTCTGAGAGAGAAATTGTCTTGTGACACTGGTTTATTAAAGATTGTTTAGAAAATACATTTCAAAGTTGTATCTCTAACATGTGGAAGGATTTCTACAAAAACCGTGGTTTATTAAATATTGTCTAGAAAATATATTTCAAAGTTGCATACCTCTAACCTGTGGTAGGATTTCTACAAAAATCTGCCAAGAGCGAGTCGGAGTCGTCCACGAAAGGTTCCGTACCGAAAACGAGCAGAAATATGACGATTGTTGTATGGTATATGGTATTTAGTTGATTCTAGTTTTTAATGTTTGGTTTTATAACGGCAACAGAAATACATCATCTGAAAATCTCAACTGTCTGCCTGGTGACAGATGGACAGACAGACATCGAAGTGGTACACAATCCTACAAAGCAAACACACCTAGATAACATTTGACCGGCTTTGAATTTGAAACCGGCATCGAATCAAACGAGTGAAGTTAGATAAAAACTTTATCGAAGACAATTAACAAGCTTCGATAAGAATTTGGATATCTCATAATTATTTAAAGCCGCATTATCACGATTTAAGACATATGGTCGGAGATAACAGTATCATAATAATTTAATTTATTTCATTTGTGTTACAGATAACAAAAGGGAAACTATGGCCACTAATTACTCTCCTATGTGCAATCACTGCGCTGGTGTCGACTGTACTTGATAACGTCACCACCGTCCTATTGATGACTCCTGTCACGATAAGGCAAGTGCAGCAAGTTCCGACCAACATGGTGCATGATGAATTTTTGTTTGCAAAGAGTAGATTGACCACAATCCATATCAATTTGACTTACTTCTACGTGAAGTCCGTGAATATCTTGTTAAATGTTTTATATGACGTTTTTTAAAAGATCTTGAATGAACTATATCACTAAGTTAACTTTAATTGAAATTTTCCAACGCAAACTTTAGACGTAAATGTTACTTGAAGTTTAAGTTTCCATCTCCAAAAGTGATTGTGACTTTAAACGTTACATGATTTTAAAAATCTCTCACAATCGCTACACCTTTGAAAGTGATTGCGATATATTTTAAAACTAGACAATTAGGCCCCGGGTCTACTAAAACCGAAGTCACCGGTCAACGATTAAAATGTATATTGAGTTGTGTTACAATACATATACGGTATAAAATACAACTCATCAGAATTTGTGTGTAAAAATTTTATTAATACATATTTTAGCTGTAATAGAACCCTCAGGCGTTGTTTTCCTACAAAACCAATTTTCTTTTAACAAATGATTCGCTACTATGTCATACAGAATATTCACCAAGCGTGGTTTGTTTTAAACGAATCTCTCTTTCACAGGCTATGTGAAGTGATGGACCTAAACCCTGTCCCAATATTGTTATGTATGGTGTTCTACAGCAATATCGGTGGGACTGCAACTCCAGTCGGTGATCCGCCCAACGTCATCATAGCTTCAAACAAAGCAGTAATCCAATCTGTAAGTTTCCACTCCACTCCATTTGAAATATGGACAACGGGCCAATCATTACGCAGGCCCGGATTTAGCACTTGTCCCAGCGCCAAAGTTAAGAGGCGCCAAAACCATTATTATATACCTAATACCTACATAGGTACAGTTTAAAAAAGAATGGGCTTTACAAATCTCTTCATACACAGTATAGGTTACGATGGGATGAACTTGCTTCACAATCCCATAATGAAATAACAAGAAAAATAAGGGAGCGTAGCGGGAGAGGGGGTAAATGATGGGAGCAGAAAATTCTGTTCCGGTAAAAAAAATCATAGACCCGGGCCCGCCATCACGCTGGCTCAGTGCGGATTAATGAGTTTAACGACAGCAGATCACGTCGAGATCAAAGACTTAAACTGCCTTCCAAATCACGGAGGGACTCAATATAATACATTTTTAGTCACCAATCCTATGACCAGTCATTCGAAAGTGGATTAATATCTACACGGTAGACCGAACGCACTGACCACAGCACTATCGAGATCCTCAGCATCATCATCATCGATCAACATCTCTACTGCAAGGGTTATTATCATAAGGAAAGAGGCAGTAGAAGATAATGGTTTTATATAACAAAATTTTGATCGCTCATCCAATGACCGAATTTTGCTAACATTGTTGGTATTGTATCAAGCAAACAGAGTAGCTAACTACCTCCAGGAGGCTATCACAGTTGTGAAAACACTTAGAACATATCCAATGGAACTTGGATATGAGAGAGTTACTCGGATAAATACGATGTCTTGGCGATGTTATAACGATATTTCGTATTTTGTTATTACTTTGACAAGTTTTTGGTGAATAAATGACTACGTTGGTAATACTGCTGAGCCGTCTGGAATAAACAAAACAAGCGTAATTGTAACGCCGATTTGCGAAGTCACCTGTAAGAAGATGATCGCATAACATTCTACCATTGTTAAACCTGTACAAACTTAACATGCCCAAGAAAATCTTCCAAGTATTTTATTTCTACTTTTGGGTCAATATCTATATATAAACCTTCCATCAGTCTACTGATGTTTCAATCAATTTTCTTTTAACAAATCTCAGTCTAATACATGTTTCTCCTATAAACAGGGCATCAACTTCACTAACTTCACTCTGCATATGACTCTGGGCATCATGCTGATCTGCATACAGACATATTTCCAGTTAAGATACATTTATAGAGATACCAATAAGCTCAGGCTGAATGTGCCTAGAGATATACAAGGTAAGAGACACTTCATAAAAAGTAGACAGTGGGAACCATATGACACTTCCTTACCCGTATATTTGATTCCCTAATCATCAATATTTTTTTTCATATTAACCAATGTCCAATGGCTTAAGATAATACCACTACTCTTAGTATCAACCATGGTCATTCTTTAATTAGCTACAAAACGTTTCTATATCTATTTTCGTATAGAAAATGCTTTTAAATTGCTATCTTCATTTATGGTACAATTTATCGCATTCAGTACACATTATACTTTATATACACAGTACACATTATATTCCTAGCATTGCCAGTATGAGTAGCAAATATTTTCAAAAGTTTTCATTCTCCACAGAACTTCGTCAGCAGATAACAATATGGCGTCGAGCGGCAGATTCATTGCCACATTATAGTAAAGACGAACACGTGGTCCGAGAGAGATTGGAAAGGAAAGTTATGAAGTTGAACATTCAATTGGAGAAACTGCAGAAAGAGAGTAAAAAGAGAGCCTGCCCAAAGGACACATTTCAGAGCACATTAGCCGAGATGAAAGCGAAGGTAAGATGACATAAGCCGCTGGAATAATGAACCTTCATGGTCAATAAGTTCAGTTGCTGTTGTGTAAAAACAACTTCATCATTAAGAGCTAGTAGAGAGGTTGATGGACCGCGAAAGTTGGTATCGATAAACAAGTAATACATTTTACTAACATGATTGTCATTATATATGTGTACACGCGTCATTATAAATTATTAAAGTGAGTAATTATGTGTTTTCTTTATCTATGTCAATAAACATATATATGTCTGTGAGCATATTAAACGACCAATATTTACCGTTTAGTATGCTAAAGTCTACCTTATAAAAGAAGTCCAGCGGCATAACTCTTATTCCATTGGAATAAAAACGAATTTATAGTGTTCAGAGGGACTTCTTTCGTGAGACGAACTGTACCGAAAAATATTTTTATTACTGTCATCTCGCTTAGGGTACTTCTTCTCAGTAAGCGAGACGGAGATGGCAATATCCCCACGTGCGTCACAATTTTAGTTCAGAACAGCTTGTTTAGTAGAATTGTAGAAGTCTTTATTCATGGAAGACAGGATACAAGTCAGAAATGCGACTCCACGACTCAGCTCTTCATTTTCACGTTAGAAAGACACTATTGAAAACATCAAAAAGAAACCTACATATCTTTCAGCCTTATACGTTCAGGGCTTTATCTAAACAAGTTAATTCATTGGACTTAAAGCAAGAGGTAGAGCCGCAATTGCTTTTGGAAATTAGATTACCGTAGCACTAAACACAATTTCAATTTAAAATTCATTATAAAAAAGTCACTTAGTCAGCTCTCTGAATTTATTTTGTGTTTAACGAAACATAAGACATTCTTTCTAACTAGCTATGCCTTCAATCTTAATATAATATTCATTTTTAATGTTAATTCTAGTACAAGATACGAGACAAGAATCTCCTCATCAAGGCTACAGTGGCAGTGACCTTCGTGGTTGTGTTATTTTTTCTTCATTCCATACCTGAATTAAGTGAGTTATTATTAGTACTAAAGTTGCCAAAAATATTCACTGCATAAATCATTAAAATCGATCCTTATTTTTTTTTACGGATTTGAAAAACTCTCCAGTCTTCTAAAATTCTTCGGTAACTGCCCTGCGATTCTGTAAAACTTCAAACCCGATTTCGAATCCACTCGGGTGTCCGAATTCACTTCAAAAAGCAGCATCCGCTCAAACTTGAATTGGTAATAATGTTTCGTGAAATAAGTGAAGTAAGTTTCGAAATGATATAGGATTAAAATATCTAAAACACGTTTAATCAATCAATTTTGTTTAGTATTTTTATACAAAAAATAGAATCAATATGATTTCTATACTAAATGACGAGAATTCGGACACATGTGTGAATTTGAATTCGGGTCTGGATTGTTACAGAATCGCAGGGCTGGATTTGAAGAGCAATCTCACTGTAAACGTTAAAATCTGCTATATTATGAACCCCATCTCGGGCATCTGAAATGGTGGAATTGTATAAATAATCATTAAAGAGTATGACTCCTACGAATTTGTATAACACTAGAGCTTATTATATTTGTCCACCAACGAAAATTGTTCTTATAATTTTGTAAAGATCATATCCGTGAATACCCTTTTTCAATAAATAACCTTTGTCTCAAATTAACAGTACCTGGCCCAGATCTATACTAATATTATAAAGCTGAAGAGTTTGTTTGTTTTTTTGTTTGAACGCGCTAATCTCAGGAACTACTGGTTTCCTGGTAGATTCTTGCTATTTTCATTGATTAATCAACTGAATAGCCTTACTTGACATTCATTTTGCTAGTATTACCACAGACTAAACATTCACTATGACATCTCCCCTTTTTTTAAAATTTAATACTAGTTAACTTATACTAGATTCTACCACTTATATTTCTTATACTCGTACTATTTACTGTTGTTACATTAGTTTGGTTATTTTCATTTCTACTGGATTGATTATAATATGAATCTACAGTAACTGAATCATTATCAGTATTTATTGTATTTCCATCATTGTCTAAATCATAATTTTTATATATTAATATTAATTATTTATGTTTCCCTCCCTTTATCAACTATTTTCTATTTCATCTGTGCATACTTAGTGTAAGTAAAGTACATTCGAATTTTAATGGAGATGAAAGTTGCTACACTACCGGCTTGGGATCCAGTAATTAGTCAAATAAAATTTCAATCCATATCACACATTGCAAAACCAAAAATACAGTTAGATAATTCTATAAATAATTAATCAAAGAGCGATTCACTTTTCTCGTCGGAATTGGTTTCTCCAGTTTTTCACAGACAAGACTCTCAAATTTGAAACTGGTGGTAGATTACGGTAGCCAGGGGTAAATAAATAAGCCAATGTATTTTAGTAAATAATTTAATTTATTAAATGTAAACGTTGCTTTTTTTTTTAATTGTATATATGTACAATAATATTTTTTAAAGGTATCTATACTCATAATTAAAAAAGCAATCTACAGTCTTAGTTTTATGTGAACACGGAACCTGTAAAGGGTCCGAAACGTCAACAAAATTAAATACAAACGCGATGAAACCATTTAAAAGTTGTTTCATTTAGAATAGGTCGTACTATTCTATTTCTACGAAAACTATGTTAATTTTTATAAGAGTGGTTATAATGTCATAGATCGTGTATCCCTGGGATGGACTGCGCTACTCGGTGCCATACTGTTACTAACGTTGGCAGACCGCGAGGATCTAGAACCAATACTGCATAGAGTGGAATGGTCCACGCTGTTGTTCTTCGCGGCTTTGTTTGTTCTCATGGAGGTAACTTTTTTAAGTAAAAAATCAAATGCTGTATCCAGAAATTGAACGCACTTAAATTTATCCAGGTGTTTACCTAATATTTTCACCAAAGTGCAAATTGATGAAAAATATTCACAGTATAACTAAATAGTTCTCATAATATATATTTTTTTATACTTATATATACCTTAGTTATTCCATGGAAACTTGAACTGCCGGTCTGATACAGCTGTCGTTATTGTTCTTAAAAAATAACTTAATTTTATTGATATAGTTATAATATATAAACTATCGCTGATATAGCGACACGAGAGTCTGCTACGATATAAGATTCTATATAGATATAAAATGATTTTCAGGCATTATCCAAATTGGGACTAATAGAATTTATTGGCGGAGTCACCGAGTCTTTGATCTTCAAAGTCGACGAGAATGCTAGGTTGGCTGTGTCCATTTTACTTATGTTATGGGTAAGTTAAACTCATATACCTACAATATCATTGGCATAATTGCTTGCCGTAATTTTTTATACTCCAATTATTTGAATTCGTCCACTAAAGGTAGTAGATGTGTTTTAAAGGAAAAAAAAATACTTTTTTGTTCTTTGAACATGAATCATCTCTGCGTCGATTATCCGAACTAATTGGGGGACAGGGGTGTTCGGAAAACCGGTTTTTTCGGATAATCGAACTTTATTGATATAGCTATACTTATTTATTTAGCCACGGGTGAATAAAAGCCATATTTACATATGTACCTTCATAATAATATCTTTATTGAAAAATAGGAATTAGAAAACAAATAAACTGAAGTATTTGCAACAAAACATTTTAAGTACAATATTGGTGAAAATCGAACAATTTTCGTCTGCCAAAGCAAGCCGAGCGGCTAGGTCACGTATTTTTTAAGTACATATATTTGATACCGGTCATTCTCGACTTGTGTTTCAAACCAACGCAAGTAAACGTTTCTGAAGCACCAATTATGTTTTCATCTTCATTATCTGAACTTGCAGTAGATGAAGTGGTGTCAGTGTTATTAGTCATCAGATTTAATATTGTAGAAATTGAATATTGTTGAAGTCGAAACACGAGCGCGGGGCGCGGGAGAGTCGGGAGTTCGGATAAGCGGTCGTTCGGTTGATCGACGTTCGGATAATCGACGCTCTACTGCACAGAACACGGAAAACTGTGTTCTGTGCTCTACTGTATATAAAATTGTCAAACTAGACTAGACTAATTTCATTTCATTAAAGTTGAAAACCAAGACCCCCCTCTCCTATTCCCACAGAGGTTAGGCGGTCGCATCCTTGGCAGTAGTAGACTAACCTCATCGGAGGCCCGGGGCGTCAATAGGCCCCGATTAAAATAACGGCAGTCCCTTTAAATCCTCCAGTGATCCTTGAACATCTAAAGGATTTTTCGACATTAACAGTTTCATTAGTTACTACTAATAACCATTTGTGGATACAATATTTAATATATTAATAATTATTATTATTATTATAAAACTGAGTTTATGCAACTATGTGAAAGTAAATGTTAAGTTTAATTAAAAAATTATAAGTAAGTATACTATATAATTAATATAATCGTAAAAATAAATCCGTATATTTCCAGGTATCAGGGCTAACGTCTGCTTTTGTGGACAATATTCCTCTAACCACCATGATGGTTAGGATAGCTACCTCACTGGGTTCTAATCCTAATCTCAACTTACCAATGGCGCCGCTAATCTGGGCACTGTCTTTCGGAGCCTGCTTGGGAGGTAAATGATTTCTTTATGAAGCTGTTCAAAGTTGATTATAAACATGAAATAAATGGATATGTACTTTTGAATCCACTCTTGACGTTTTTAAGTTCATCAAGTACAAACCGACACGGCGGGATTTTATTTTTATACTAGATGTGCCCGTGTCTATCTTCGAGTGAAAGTCCGGTCAAAATCGGTCTCGCCGTTTCAGAGATTAGCCGGAACAAACAGACAAAAAATTTAAACATATTATTTTGCTATATGTACTACCGTGTATATAATGTATACATATATTATATGCATTGAGTAAAATTCACTTATTTTAATATTACTAACAGACATCCCAATTTTATTTACTTGTATAGATTATTCCAGTATTTTCTTTTTTAGGTAACGGCACTTTGATAGGTGCCAGTGCAAACGTCGTATGCGCTGGAGTGGCGGAACAACACGGCTACAGATTTACGTTCATGGAGTTTTTCAAAGTCGGCTTTCCAGTCATGATCGGCCATCTTATTGTCGCGACTGGTTATCTTCTCCTGTCTCATTGTGTTTTTACTTGGCATTAATTTTTGGTGTTATTCTCGTGTGGCACTAAAGATTTGATGTTATGTTCGTATGGCACTAAACATTCTTCTCTCAATGTGACACTAAAGTAGGCGTTATATTTTCACACAGCAAAGTGAACTGTTGTAATGCTCTTTTAAAGCACTGCTTAGGTTTAGTATTAATTAAATTGTCCCTCCCCTTTTAGTGAATTTTGAGTGACAAAAAATATTGATTTTGTCACTCAAAATTCCGTCACGGGATATAATAGCAGGTATATTATTTTATTAAAGACAGCCTCGAACTCTACGTCGAGCTAATCGTTATAATAGCACCAGGCTTCAATAAAATAAAACCTTTATAACCTACTTTTGTAGATTTTATTTAATTGAATTGAATGATTTTATTAAATTGGCAGTGTTGCGCATAAAGTTCTATTCTGTTTTTATTACTCACAGACTTGCACTGCAGTACCCATGCTTGTAATATAATATTTAGGTCATATCCTGAAAAATATTTTGTTAATTCCCAATATTTTTATTTTTTAAATTTCAGCAAGAAACAGGAGTTGTTAATAATAAAAAAAAAGTTATATAAAACAGTTGTAACTTTGCCTACCTATTGTTATTATGTTTAATTTTTAAATGAGTAAAGCGTAATGTGATAATTTTATGTCATTAACTTTAGTTTTATTTATTCGTATACGCACTAAACATCATCTTAATTTAAGTATTTTTACATACATAATAAATTGATAAAAATAAATATTTTAAAATAATGTATCATTTGAAAACTTATTTATAAATTAATGAGGAAGTATTAAAAAAAATAGTTTCCGAAATCAAACTAGATGTCGCTACGGTACGTTCTTGATTTCTCCATGACAACCCTACCGGTTTTCTTTCATGTTTAAAAGTAAATTAGTTTTCAAAACTCAATAAACAACTCATATTCTATTTGGACTTTTTTCGTATTTGTATTAATATCTAAGTTTTGAACTTTACAAATTTCAGTTTTTTACTATGTTAGTTAAAAGGAACGGAAATGACTGTCTTTGTCTGCAAAAATCAAGTTTTGCTAGAGTCGCCATCTAGTGGAGGTGCTTTTTTAGTGCTTTCGTTTTTTTTTAAATACTTCCTCATTACACGTATTCGCCATTCAGTTAGTAACACTACATCTGCAACTTGCATCTGCCGTCGTTAACACCCAGCAGTTCGCATTGGACCCGCGTGGTGGATCATGATTGATGAAGCGAAGCTCGTTTTTCTGAACATTCACTTAACGTATCTAAAGCCACAGATATCTAATAGATATCGTATGATTATTTAAAACAAAGATGCCAATCTTAGCGGTGGGGTAGGTGGCGGGCGATATAACTACGGCGACACTATTGGATAGTTCAAAGACACGTATTCTGTAGTGATGAGAACATTATCATAACGTGTTAAAGGCTTGTCGATAATAGGGATGATGACTAATTTTTGTTTGTTTGTCCGTCAGGTAGAGTGTTAAAAATATTAAACACGTATTTTTTTAATTTTTTTCGTAATCATATAATTACGGCGTTACATTGGGTTGAAATTTCGCATGACGTCACGTTAGAGTACGTTTTCTACTCAACTGTGACGAAGCGAGCCCCCACTCCTCAACTTTAATGCCTGTTATCTAAGCTATTTCTTGTTAAATTGAAGTAAAAAAAAATACGTATCTAAGTATTACCTAGTCATCATCCCTATTGTAGCTATTAGATGTCATAAGAAATAGGTATAAGTATTTAAATTTATTTTTATTTAATTCACAATTTATAGCACTATAACTAACTTAACACTTGAAGGACAAGGCCACCAACGGCAAGTCTTCAGCGAGCGCGTACGCCTAAAATCACTAACCTTCAATCAGTCTGTAAAAATAACTTTTAAAAATCAATTTTATACAAAGAAATACGATTAAATAAGTTGTAATTAAAAATAGGAGAATAACTTCTTATTTTAGATACAATCACAACCAAAACGTAAGTTCATAATCCTGATAGAAAAAAAAACCCCAAAAAATCACAATTTTTGCATTTCTTTTAGTACCGGTTTACTGGCTACACTTTATATATTAAATGAGAAACAAAATATACACACAAATGAAAGTATTGAACCACTGCGCCCATACAAAAATATTAAGTTAATCTTCAACAATTTTGGCAAAAAATGCAAACCTTGGACTTTTAAATAACGAACAAATATTAAGAAGAGAAAATTATTAAAGAAGACTTGAAATACATATGTTCTAAAATATCTTAAAATAATTATCATAGGTACTGTAGGTATATTGGTTATTAACCTCGGAGTAAGTACTTGTGTGCATTAATTTTTGCACTAAGTTGAATTTTTTCCTGTAATAAGTAGTAACAATGTTTACGTATGGAAATATCGATATCGATTATAAATGCAGTAGCGATATTAGTGTTACTCGTGTCTTTTTCAGAATGAAATGAAAATACTGATTAGGTACTGATGAAATGTTATACAATCTTTCTTGCAATTAGATGTTCTGGATTTTTTCTACGTCATTTAACACTACAGCTGGCCGTGATTAACCCAACTACTTCATTATAAGGATAAGTCTTCTCGTCCAAGCGTTTACTCACAAATCGAAAACTTGGTTAACCTAATCCAAATACCTTCTAAGTTAACTTTACACTGTTCCGGAACTTATAAAGTGTCAATTACATCTATAATAAATTACCTGAATACCTCAAGAACGAACAAAATATACTCGATTTATAAAAATGCTAAAGAATATCCTATTAAATAAATGCTATATACAGTGAATGAATATTTGAATGAAAAGTTTTAGATAAAATGGAATGTCTGACCCTCTTCTTTACATCTTTCTATATTGGCATGCCTATCAAGGTGCATGTGAATATTATTAACTGAAATTTATGTATTTAGTTTCGTAGTCACATGTATGCAATGCAATGAAATAAATAATTGAGAGTTTCAATATGTGTCATTGGTTTATAACCAAAAGCGGACCCATTTTCGTATTCCGTAATGAAAATTATCGTATATAGAGTAAAAATCGGCAAAATTGTCGTACACTAGCACAATATTTAAAAAATCTGCAAGTAATTTTAAACTCTACTGCTAAGATGATAAGAAGTAAAATCAAATGAAGTAATTTGACATCATCGTGCTGTTCAAGTAACTGGCCTGATTCATTATTCGATATAAGTACTCGATACTTTGATTTGAACCAAGTACTTTGATTTTTTAGTATCGAATTCGAAGGACTCGTCTTTTTATGTCTACAAGGTATTGGAAGTTAATAAATTATACGTGATTCTTTTAAAATTATCTAAGAGATTCACATGTCTCAAGCGACAGATATTTAAAACCCATTATAAATCACTATATTAGTGATAACTCCTCCAATTTAGCCGTCAGAGATTTCAAAAATAATATCTGTATAGATTTACGGACAAATTTGGATTCTTGTTTGTATTTAGATCGTGCTATGAACAAAGAGAGAATAAGTCATATTACTGGCTATTATGTAAGCATACTTACATAATAGCCAGTAACATGAGCCAGTAACTTAGGTTTTAAGAATATCCTTAGAAATAAAGGAATTTCTTAAAAGTTTGCATCATCATGATATTATCTTACAATCCACGTAAGGTGATAGTAGGTTATCGTACATTGGATGAAATTATCGCACACGTACGATAATTTTCGTACGGTTGGAAACGCTGATACATGTATTTACTACTTTTGTGAAAACGATCTATGCAGAATCATAGATGGTTGGCTTCAGCTCGCTGTCTTTTATGCGGCATCTATTGGAGGTTTATCTGTGACCTCAAGCATACAAGCTTCTGCCATTAATTAATTTGAAAAATCTTAACTTTCTGTAAGCTAATACATTAAATTGACCATTATATTAGCATGGCACAGGTAGCTTACTTTCACGGCCATCATCATCTTTTAAACAGGCTGAGGCCTTACCTATAGCTGTAGTCGAATAGAGAATAGACCATGTAACTCATCATGCGGGCCCGTACAGATTGGTGGGTGTACCTTAACAGAGGAGCACGTTAGAGCTCAGTGTAGAGATAATAATTTGTGGTCACCCATCCTATGACCAACCATTGCGATAGTTGATTAACAATCGTGTCACAGACCGAGCGCGCTAACCACTGCGCCATAGAGCTTTCTCGGTAATGAATGACAAGCAATTTGACTTTTTATAATTTATCATTCCACACCACTACACACCCAATTTCTGTAATTGATTCATTCAGTATTAATAAACTATTATATTGAAACTAAGTAGGGTAGAATACCAAGAAGTCGCCACGCACCAGTAATCTGCTTTTACAAACCTTAAAATCATATAAATTATATGGAACTTGGTTTATACCATGAAAATGACGCCTGATCGAATCTATGCTCCCTTATTAGTTAATACGCAACCTTTCAATCAAAAGGAATGGGCGTTTGATAAGCTGTATTCGTTCATTTTCACTGCCGCCAATGAATGACCGAAAGCCATTTTTTTTATATACCTAGGTACAAATATTTTTTAAATATGGTGAATCAAATTAAGATTCTCATTAAAGGTCCGACTACTGGTTGTTTTACCCTACTTAGATACTTTTCATATGTTTAAAAAATATACACTTTCTGAAAGTGTTTATAAATGTTATATTTTAGATATTATTACTGACCTTTTTTACATCTTATTTACTATTTTTTTTATTGTACAATTCTGAAGTGTATATTATTATTAATAGTTACTGTTCTGTCAAAAATACTGCACTACTTTAGGCGGAGGCACAGCATTTTTTCTAATTGTTCATAATTATGGATTCATATTTTATCATGGATAATCTAAATTCAGGCTGTATGGTGCCTGTTTTGTAGTTCAGTTTTTTAAATAGTGATGTTGCTATTATTATGGCTAAAAAATAAATTATTTTAATATCTGTTTGACTTTATTTCTTTAAGCTTAGTTACATTACTTTAGAATGTTAACTTCTTGTACCGCTTACATAGGTACATAAGTAATTTTATGATAGTAAATCGCTTACATGTTCTAGGATCTAATTAGTTTTGTTACTATATAGGTATTTAAAGATTCAAAATATAATTAGGTGAAAAAAAAATCATACACATGCTTTATTCAAAATATATTTAATAAAACTTTATTTATGCTGAAAAATTAGGTAAAACATCTAAAATATCTACCATACAAATTAAATACTTGGCTTGGGCAAAAGTTATAATATGGCATCCATTTACAGTCATATTTTATGGCACTTTAAACAAAATACAATTATTACAGATCAGAAGAGAAGTTTATACGCCTATTTTTGATTCGGTTGTTCTCCTCCATGCTCAACAACGACAGAGGCGATCTCGGCGATAGTCTTAGACACTGCCCACGAAAGATTTACTAAAACTGTAGATCTCTCGCTATTTCAGATGTTGAAATAATTACTAAGCGGATTCATCACTCAGTACCCAAAGCGGAGGTCAAGTGCTGGAACACCTCGAAGCTGACTTTTTCAAAAACTTTTATAACATGCTTGCAGTTTTACAACTTTTTAAGTCGCCGCGTTCCACGACTATGTGAGACTAGTATTATTTTCATATCTTTCTTAAAATAATTTAGTGATAAAATAAATTTCAAAAACTACGGAACCGATTACGGACTTTAATAACAACTTCTGTACGCGTGACGCGAAAGAGCTGCTAAATTTAAACAATTAAAAGCCGCTGTGTTGTGTTTATTGTATATGTGAGTATGTGACACTTGGGTGTAAGTATAATATACAAAAACCTACATTATTGACTAGACTTGAGTAAATATAAAATTAACTGTATTATTCAAATAAAACAAGCTATGTACCTAAATATAGGTGTAAATATGTATTAAATGATAAAAACAGTATTTTGATCAAAATCCTAGGATATAAAACCATTATAAAAACCTAAACAGATTAGTGTCATCTTAAAATTAATGCATACATTCATTTTTCTAAATAAAAAATATAATTGGAGACAGTAAATAATAAAAAAAAACAATTCACTAGATCTTTCCACTTTTCATCACATTTAGGGAGACATGATAAAACTAAATGTTATAAAAAATATAACTTTTAAATTCATTATTCTATACTTTTATCAACATATAAATCAAAGAATAATATCATTGTTTTCTAAAATCTTCAAGAAGTCATTCCATGAACAAAAACCTTCACTGTCTGTTTTACAATCATCTAACTGCATCAGTTGGAACTGCGGTGTATTATTCAAACTCAATACCGATGCAAACCTTAATTGATCAGAAGATTGGTACACATACTCTACTTTTAATAAATACTCATTTTTGCTTTTATCAAACCATTTTTGGAATACCAACTTCCCACCGATCGGAGTTAATTCATACTGGTTCATCAATTGGTATAGTTTGAACTTTAAAGCTTTTAGTACAGTGTACATGTTAGCGTCGTGACCCATGAGTAATGTCACCTTTGGTACAATATTATTTAAAAATAAACTCCTCATATACTTAACAATTGGCAGCGATATATCATGAGCGATAAGTGTGGTATTAAATATAAGATTATGGTAGCCTCTACTTAATTTCATTAAAGTTTCCCATTCTGTTGAACTTTGTAAGTAACCCCATGCTACATTTTCTAATGGTATACCTTCATAGTATTGCATAACAAATGCATCTACAACAGAGTTGGCAATCTTAATAGGGCCGACTGCATTTGGCTTCTTTCCAGATACAACAATGACTTTATTTTTATCTGTTAATAAATTACATTTGTTCTCAGCCTTACATAAATCAGAATTCTCATAATCAAGAATGTTTTCTAAGAATTCATATGAACTATTAAGTTTTAAATTTTTCAGCTTGTTTTCCATTTCTTCTATGACTAATTGCCGAAATATCGAAGATGTATTATGTAAGACAGGATTGAATAATGGATCTTCATTGGTGTTTGAATGATGTATTGTAATATTGCAATAAGGAAAGGCGTTATCAACGAAAGCCTTAGCAGAAGCTAGAGTTCTCTGTTTGATATTAGCATAAGCATAAAATGAATCTTCTGTAGGACAATGTCTATGTATCAAATTTTTTTTATTAAACCAGGCACCAAAGAATTTGCCCATGTAACCTTCTAAAATACTACCCTTAGCTGTAAGGTAGCCCGGCTTCTCTTTCCAGCTTGGCCATTTCTTTGGGGTCATTTGATTGAGGTATTTCGACAAAGGGCTTCTTAATCCATGTCTGCTTAATATCACTACTTGTTTTAACGTAAGAGAATTATCACTTACTTCATTTTCCTGTTTTTCTACTGACTTTGAAATACAGATACACATACAGAAATATATAAAGAAATATTTTATACACATCTTATGATTTTTGAGACACAACGCCCACAAAAAGCTTTAATTGTGTCATTATTCTGTAAACATAATACTTACATCATTATATTACGAAAGATAAGGCATTGAAGAATTCCCTTTCACGTTGACGTTAGACTATTAAAATAGTTTACTATGTTAATTAAGCAAATACACAACATTTGAGATACCAATATGTATTTAAATATCTTAATAAACTCAAAATACATACAACCTTTATAGCATCTATCACATTAGTCGTCATCAAACGAAACATCTTAGCATTAAAAATATTCAAAACAAAATACCTATGTCATATCACCCAAAGAGAATTTAAACACTACCATAGACAAAAGACGGAACTGCATACAAAAAAATATCGTATAGTCTATGGATATTTGTTATTGTATCGTTAGGTTGGTGGATTAAGAGTAGAGATTAACGGTCAATGAGGGAGTATTTACAAAGAAATGTTCCTGAAATCAAACTAGATGTCGCTACGGTACTTTCTTGATTTCTCCATGACGACCTTTCCGGTTTTCTTTCAAATTTAAAAGTAAATTAGTTTTCAAAACTCAATAAACAACTCATATTCTATTTGCACTTTTTCGTATTTGTATTGATATCTAAGTTTCGAACTTTTCAAATTTCAGTTTTTTAATATGTCAGTTAAACTGAACGGCAATGACTGTCTTTGGTCCATTCGTTTCCAGCAAAAATCAACTTTTGCTAGAGTCGCCATCTAGTGGAGGTGCTTTTTTAATGCTTTCGTTTTTTTTAAATATGTCCTCATATGTCCATATGTCCACACATTCACAAATGTGAATGTGTGTATGCTTGTCAGTTATTTTATCTTTTCATAATTTGTTTTTTTTCCTCCTTAAGTTTTACTTGTTATACAAGAATGTTGTGTATGCTTGTCTGACTGTTCTTATATGTTTTTCTATTGTTAAAATGTCTAGTTGTAAACATGCCTTTATAATAAATAAATAAGTCTTTCACGTCAGAACGGAGCAACGAATTAGTGTGGAGGTAGTCGAAGGGCTGGAGACTGACAGACTACTTTTTGTCTCTTTCTGTTCCCCGTCCCCCCAAAATAGGTGAATATTTCTATGGAGAATTCCGCAATTTTCAAGGCAGAAAGTTAAATCTGCCCCCATCCTTTTAAAGAAATTTTGTATCCGCGGTGTCTAAGAACGCCATACATTGATATGCGGACTATTTAGAACTATAGAAAAATATTTTCTGTTGGAAATTCTACCCCCTTAAAAAGGAGATTATAAATTCGCCAATTTTCAAGGTAAATAGCCGAAAATTTTTATACAGACTAATTGTTATAAACCCCTTTTAAATGTAAAAAAAATTTATATGGGACTTTCCGCAATTTTCAAGATAAAAGCTGATTAATAGTAAACAGGCTTTTTGTTTTATGTAAATTATAAAATAATATATATAAAACAATATTATTACATTTAATCTAATAAACTTTTGAGTAAAGAAATGCATAAATATCATCAGTTGTTCGCAATAAAGTTCAGAACCAATGGAGACAGCTAATAATGAATAATACCCTTCCAATCCCAACATACACCCGTTAACCTGAATCCTCACCGAACTTTGATCACGACCTTTATCGCATGTTCTTCTCGTACGTGATCCATTTTCTATCACCAGATATCAGCTTCTTCACAAATGGTTCGGTTTCATTACGCCGTAATAAAGAATCACAAATGAGTACACGGTTTTATTGAGGTATACACAAATATCCAGCTTTTTTTTTACCCAACTTTGTTCAAATGCGCCATAACTGTTTTATTGTCAATCCCCAGTTCTTCAGCAACGACGTAACTACTGATATGGCGACCGAAGCGACGTGCATCTTTGACATCAAAATTTCCGGACTGAAAACGAAAATCAAATTTGTGCTACTCTCACAGAAACTGCATTAGATCCGTATAGGTCACTATTTTTATTTCGCGGCTTGCGTTGCATTTTTACCTTCTTTTTAATAAAATTTTAAAATGTATCGAATTTCTTCATTAGATTCACTCATTTTGACAGTAAGAAAAGCAAATGAAAATCACGTTTCCCTTATTTGAATTCGGAGTTAACTTCTTTAAAATTAAAACTTTTTAATGATACCGAAACCAGCCATATACAAATGGTATAGCCAGAAAGATTTTATTACAAGTTTATTCATACTATATGCGAAAAGACTTTTACCCCAACCTAATAAGAATCTTTGACCTGCTCTATTTATAATTTATTATCTATTTATGTAAACAAAAGGAAAACCTGATAGATATTTAAGGCTCATTAGTGAGTATAATAGCAACAATGGATAAGATGTAGGTAATTAAAGAAAGAATGCCATTAATTACAAAATCAATTTATATTTTTGAGTATGCTTACAAAGTCAGTCCAAAGACAAAATCCACTTTCGTTAATTTTACAATCTCTTAATTCCAATACAACTGACTGTGGTGGATTCTCCTTTGACAATTTAGATCCATTTCTGAGTTGCTCCATAGTCTGATAAACATATTCCACTTTCAAATATTCATTAGTGTCTTCGCGCCATTTTTGAAACACTATTTTCCCGCCTATTGGAGTTTTTTCATACTGACCTGGCAAAACGTAGCTTTTAAATCTCAGCGCTGCCATAATTGCGTTAAGGTTTGAATCGTGGCCAACCAACATTGTGAATTTTCGCGCCAAATTGTCTTCAAGGAAAGCGCTTTTCAAAACATTCAACATTTGCCTTGCAATGTCATTCGCTAACGTGTGATTAAATCTCACATTTTGATTTTCCCACGTTATTTCTAATAGTTTTCTCCATTGTTCTTCAGAGTTAATTTTCCCCCAAGCGATGTCTTCAGTTCTTGCACCACTATAATAGCTCATCAAGAAAGCGTCAACCAAAGAGTTGCCAATGGATAACGGCCCAAACACGTTTGGCTCCTCACCTAAACTAAATAAAATGACATCCTTATTATCAATCAAATCGCAAAATGATTCCTTTTTGCATATTTCCGAATTTTTTATATCTATTATTTTGTCTAGTTCTATATATGCGTCTTCTAAATTCAAATTGTTTAATTTTTTCTGCATGCTGGCTGTATAAAGTTCTTTAAAAACTTCTGAAGTGTTTGTTATTATGGGATTGAATACTGGATCCACAGCCGATTTCTTGTTATATACAGTAACATTGCAATTTTTGAAAGCACTTTTTGCGAACGCCTTCGCTGTTTCAATAGTTCTTTGCTTAACATTTGAGTAAAGAAATACTGAATCATCACTAGGACACAGATCTGTAAACAGTCTTTCTTTTCTTAACCAGTCACTGAAGTATTCACCCATATATTCCTCTAGTGAGAAACCTTTTGATGTCAAAAATCCAGATTTTGTGTCCCATTTCGGCATCAAAAAAGGTGTAACATGTTGCAATTTGTCCGTCAAAGGAGTTCGAAGATTATGCCTACTGAGTATGAAAACCTTATTCAATTTCAAACAATCCACTTTTAAAATAGTACACCACAAAAAGAGCAAACCAATTAGTTTACTTTTCATTTTAAATTCTAAATTTAAAAAAAATCAGCCAGTTACAGCACAATTTTTTGATTACATTGATTAATCAATTAAATTTTAGGTATATTATTTGACCTAGATGTCAGTAATACAGTGATTTCATTTATTTAAATAATATCACAACTGGCGCGCGTTCTAAGCGCTACTGATTGCGTGTTGGTCAATCGACGTTTCGTAAACGATGAATGATAATAAAAGGAAACATGGAATAATTTACACCGTAACCGCTAGTTTAGACGACGACGCGAAAGTTTTCACACCTATCTGTTCCAGTAAGCGTGGCATGCGGGCAGTATGCATGTGGAAATTTCAACATTCTGACCTGGGAAATAGAAATCACATTAGCCATTAATAGATATGGAATCGAGCCGTCGGAAACCTAATTTCTATGTTTTCTTTTTCATAATTTAAATATTTTGTTATGCTCTGCTAATTCAGTTACGGTTAGAAGGTTGTCTATTTATAGTACAAATATCTTTAATGAAAGCAATAAATGCAACTGTTTTAAGAAATATTTTTTTTTACCACCTACAGTCGAATGAAAAATATTTTGATGTATATTTGAGAAAATGCTTTTGAATGTTGTTTTTTCTAAATATCAACACATATCAGTATTAGGAAAAAATTAAAATGTATTTAACTATTTATAAAAAAGATACTTTCCAAAAACCTTAAGATATTATGTATACAAATTGCACGACCTTCCTTCGCTGCGGTGTAATTGAAGACTGACCCGTTTTATTGCAAAATACAATTAGATATGTAAACTGTGTAGGTACCTATGCATTAAGTTTAGGCATTTTTAAATTATCGATCATTCTTTTCCAATCATGCAAATTATCGCGTTTAATTAAGGCTATTATAATATTTTATGCAGGAAATATGTACGATATTTGCTGTCGCCGCGAAAAAATATGTATAACATGTTCGCTTCGATAAATCTTATTATCATTTTTTATATGTACCTAAAATTATATCGGAGATAAAATAAAAAAAAATGTATTTTCTACAACACAGGGGTAAATGCGCCTTATGCCTTAAGCCATCCACCCCGCCCTGAAAAGGTATAATATGGTTAATGTCGAAAGCCTGCCTGGTAAAACCCGCTGCGGTCCTTACGAGGTTAGTAAGAACCCGGTATCCTGCAAGGATGACCCGGTAAATTATGATATTTACTACAGTTGACTGTACCTGTCAACTGCACGTCAGACTATAGAAAACTGTCAAATTTTCCCACTCGATTTTAAACCTTAAAATATTGAATTGATTACTACAATATGTCAAATTCCCTTAATTGACTACGAACTCTACCTACATTGCATTAAGGTTCAAAAATCAAATGAAGAAATTTGACAGATTTGTATAACCTGACATGCTGGTGACTGTACATAATGTATTCGCATTTAGGATTTGTATATTACAGTAAAAAAACTTTTTTTAGAAAAGTTTTCAAAAGGTCGTTCATTCTGATATACGAAATTGAGAGGCAATTAAAAAAATAACATCCATGGATAATGCTTTATTTATATTCATGATATGGTCTTAACATATAACTGCTTATTCTATAATCAAGCATCGTTATCACAAGGTCTCGACAGTGGAACGCACATCATAATTAAGTCATATGATAATAGAGTTCAATATCTTAATCTAAGGCCCAATTACATTGATCATACGGGGAATCCCCGAAAACGACTTATGAAAGACTCGAAAACTTCGGAATTTTAAAGGTTTGAGGCTTAAGAGAATACCAGGTCATTTATATTAAAAATAACTAACAATAATTCACGCTTATTGGGATATTATTGCTCAGTACAAAGCCAAATTAAAGATAGTAGGTAATTAATGGTCTAACTACGCGCCGTTTTAATAGATGACTTGATAATTAGCGCGTCATCCATCACACTTCTTGGACTCGCGCGATAACTTATAAGCCTCATTTTGGATACTATAATAAGTAAGTTGTGTATTTAAATCTCGTAACAGCATGAAATCGAATCTTTGCTAGACAACAAAAATTTAAAAGTATATAAAAGTAGAGTAAGTTAAAATTAATATAGCGCATGGAGATACTTCGATTGCGCAAAGCAGATCTACCTGCAGATTTGATGCGATGATGATGATATCACTTAAATTTATTATGAGTGTTGTTTCAATAACCAGTAAGTGTAAAATACAATATATTAGGTGTCCATCTTACTCACTTATCTACTTGAACCATTCTGATTGGTCGACATTTGCCGTGCTTCGAGTCTTCTGCCACACTTCTGCGTGGGTACATCAGCCCCACATTCTTCATTTTACAGTTAAATTATTTAAATAAATCTTAACTTAATTATATTATTATTATCTATTTAAAACTGGACAAAGCGAGAAACGGATGTGATACTTGAGACTAAATTCCCTTCCTACCCAGATGGGTGACTAGATAGTCTGAAGACTTGAATCTCTCACGTAGCATCCGTTACTTACTTCGTACACAGTAATTACATTAATATAATAACAATCATTGCACATATTTTATTAAAAGTTGAAAATGTATTAAAATTACTTTTTTTACTATACTAATCTTAAATAAATTAATATAAATTGTTGGAAGCACTAGCACTAAATTTAAATCAAATTTAATAACTTTCAAAAAGGAACTAAAAATATGTATTTTGTGTGCCTACCTACACTTGGCTATAAAAATATGTATTTTTGAGTTAGTTTACTCAAAATGCAAGACAAATAATCTCAAACCTGTATATTGTATTTTTTTTCTATTTATTTATGTCATAGCCAACTTGTTAAAACCATTTGACTGCGACATGTATATGACTGTACTGGAAAGTACTGGTATTTTCTTATCACACCAATATATGCTATCAAGTTAAGAAACAAAATATGTAATAACGTAAATAGAAAGAAACATTTAAAATTTGGATTAGACCAAAAGAAATAAACAAAAACTTAATCATCGAACGAGTGCAACAACTAGAGGAAACGTCCATACACCAACCCCAGTTTTTAGGTTTATAAATTTCTAATAATATACTCGATGCTTTGTTCTATAAACATCGATTCTTACTGTACAAAAAGAGGCTGTAAAAGAGGCCCGTAGACGACCGTACGGTATGACATTCATTACATGCTGTCAAGACAATGTAATAAGGAAGTATTAAAAAAATAGTTCTCGAAATTAAACTATATGTCGCGCATGGTACTTCCTTGATTTCTCCATGACAACCATTCCGGTTCTCTTTCAAGTATAAAAGTAAATTAATTTTCAAAGCTCAATAAACAACTATTTGTACTTTTTCGTATTTGTTTTGATAACTAAGTTTCGAACTTTGCAAATTTCAATTTTGTAATATGCTAGTTAAAAGGAACGGAAATGACTATCTTTGGTCCATTCGTTGTCTGCAAAAATCAACTTTTGCTAGAGTCGCCATCTAGTGAGGTACTTTATAGTGCTTTCTTTTTTTCTTAAAATACTTCCTCATTGTAATGACTAATGATCATCTAGAAACCACTTAACATTATAGAGGGTAAATGACGTATAAAATTATTGTCAATTGCCGTATAAACATTTACATACTATTTATATAAATACACATCAATTCGGTCGAACGAAGTGATTTAGCTTTAGTCGTATCAAACTGTATTTTCCATTTGGTACCTAAACAACTTGAGATGAACAAACTACAGTTTTTGTAAACAGGAGTATTATTATGTTTCTTTAATAATGACGATGTATGACTACAAAGTTACAAACCAAATCGATTTTTTTAAAAATTACACACAGCAGTACCACAACATGTATTTCTGTAATTAATTTAGAACTCGGGTCACAAATACACATAAGTTATACAGATGCCTCATCCCTACATTATTATTATTATTATAGAACAAAATGTGACCAACCTTATTCGGGCTATTCTTCGGGCTATATTGTCTTACTTGAGTCGGCGCTAGATGCCGCAAATGAGCAAGCAACACTTAGAATTGGCTTTTCAATGGATTTTGCATAAACGTCAATAGATGGCGTTGAATAGTAGCACACCATAGAAGAACGTTAATATAGATACATATTAAATATACCCTATCTATAAGTTTCTTGTGTCTACTATTAAATGTAAGTTTATTGTCTTTTATTTTTGTTTGAAATTCTCAAACAATCAAAAATTAAACACCAAGAAAAAATGGTTTAAATAAAATAATAATAAAAACGTAGCCATTTACAACACCATCTCTGCATACATATTTAATTATTTAAAGCATACTTTTGCTCTAAAATTGTGACGACTTGTAATTTTATGGAAAACTAAATTAAATAACCCTTTATTTCATTTTTCCGAGCTTAGGTTTTTTCTCTTTAAGTAATCATACTGGTTATTATATATTCTTAATTTTTCCCAAACGTTAAATATTGAATACATGTAACGCCATCTATTGTGGTTTTTAAGAACAAATATTTTTTTTACTTAACGATGGGACCTCGGGTAAATCTCTCAAAGCATTTGAGATTTTAAATTTTAAAGATTTACTTAAGCACCTATGTTACCTGATGTACGACACCTAAGCACCAGTATTGACTGCAAAATATTTGTACAACAATTAAGTACATACTTAATGATTTTTTCTTCTATAGAGAGGTTAGTCTCTTCATATAGGACAAACTGCTCAAGTTGAGCCAATCAATTATAGGGCTACAGTCACGCAATGGTCTGAATTCAGATTTCCCCGCCAAATCAAAAATGTTAATTTAAAATACAAGTTAGTAAAAGTAGCTCATTGTTTTATTTATATTATATATTTTTGTGATGCTAGATGTTTTTATTGTCTAGTATTAAAAGTACTCATTTTGGGAGTCGTTAGTCGTTTGATCTAGGATAACAGAAAAGCGGTAAATTATACGTAAAGTTGGGTAAACTACACGAAACCGAAGAATTTGTAAGCAGACACTGTCTTGGCCGCCATCTTAACTAGCGCCATCTACTTTTTGCTTTTAAAGTTAGTTTCCATTGATTTGTCTAACTCATAAAAACTGCAGCTTACGTTATGCGATAAGTTTATATTCCGTTTTATGCTGTTTTAGCCATTAATCTAACAGTAAACCGACTCAAAGTTTATTATAATAATACTTACACTTTACTTTCAACAGGTTATTGTTTATCTGAAATATTTTATGCGGTAGATCTGCTAATTAATGGTTTTTTTATACGTATAAAGTGAAAAAAACTCTTTATACGTAAGTAACATCAAATAACTTCTGTACATAATATAATAACATAGATTAAGATTACCCGACAAGATAAAGCGAACTAACTAAATATTTAAAAATTAATTAAATAAATAAATACTCTTTCGCGTATCTATGCTAAATTAATAGTTGTACAAGTACGCTCACCAACAGTACAAAATCATTTTTAAAGTTAAGCGATATTAATCCTTTTTACAATAGAATTAACACTCATATTCGATTATAGTCGTATCTAAGCACACCTCTGACGTAAAATATAATCCAGTTGTCAATTTTCTTTATAAACAAGGAAGATTAAAGTGATTTTAACAATGAAAAATATCATAATGAGTTGAATAAATGAACCAAACGATTCAAAAGTGTATTCTAATTATTATTAGAACAAAACATAAACATATTATTATAACAAAACATATTATTAGAACAGAACAAAGAATGCAAAATGTATCATATATAATAACTCATTTTAATAAATAAAATACTAGTTTTAACTACAAGTGTATATCAATATTTATTTAAATGGATCTTTGGAAGTTTAAATAAGAAATTTGTCTGTTTTTTCCTTAATACAGTTTGTTTAAAAATCTACCTAGTGTACCAGTGTTTCTTCTTATTTGTTACTAATATATGCATTAGAAGCTTGTAAATAGTTTTATTTTAATATGGAATGAATTCTATATTGTATCACAAAGAGAAATAAAGCATTGAATTGTAAACATGAGTTGACAGTAGGTACGGTCAGCATCACAACTATTCAAGTGCTCAACGTGATTAAAAAGTATCAAGTTCAGTAATTCATTTTTATCTCAGCAACCCAAGTTGCTTATTGATCTAAGAATGAAATGTGATCGAAAGACATTGAGAAAATTTACTTACAACTTGTTTCGAATTCGACTAGATTCAATTCTAATACAGACGAATAGTGTTTTATCGAGTCAAAGTAAAAGTTTCTAGATAAAATTAAAGAAAGGGTGCCAAGTTATTTTGCATACATCAAATGCAACTTAAATTTCCTAAATATTTTATATATTGAAATTTAAAAAAAAAATACAAATTTAGAAAAAAACTTAAACAAAGTATTATGAGTTATGTCAAAAGTAGTAGATACTTAAGTTGTTGCTTATGAAGTTATATATGTGGTACATCTTGCAAGTTTGTTGGTATATTACAAATAACCCTGTATAACTAGGCATACGTTCGATATATCAAAACGTATCTGGAAACCGATATGTATCGTATGTATCGTTATATCGTATCGTATCGATAATCCAAACTACATAATCGTTTTCTCATAACTACCTAAATAAAAAACAAATCTACAAAACCGTATCGAATCTCAAACGTATCGATATTCGCCCCTCCTCTTGTTATAGGGCAAAAAGAAATGTATCGAATATCAAATCCACCATCCAATAACGAACGCTCGAATCTGGCAATATAACCTTTAACTTCATAGCAATAAGGTATATTTAAGAGCGCTAGCTAAGAAGCCGAGACGCGACGCCCCTACTCTTTCTAATGTAAGCAAATATTACCAGTTTTGATATAGCGAAGGTACGATTAATATCGATATCTGTAAACGGTTTTCAATGATATCGTTTATATAATACCTAGTTATGGAAAAATAATTAAAATGTCCATATTTAATATAAACGCTGTTGGTGAGTATCGCCCTAAACAGCTAAATTATTAGCACTACTAAATAATTTAAGTAGTAGCTCGGTCCAGTTGCGCCAACTGATGTGCCAATCTCTCCTCTCTTGCTCTCCTAGCTTGTCCTAAAGCTCTCTTCTCAGCAAATTTACTTATGAACGCTTCAACTGTTATTTTTCCTGTTCCAAACATATATTTTTCTCACAATAAATTTGGATATACAAAATGAAGCATATACTAAAATAACATAAGGAAGTAAGATTTTATTGTTTGTTCCTTTGTAACAGAAAATATTAAAAGAACCAGACCAAATTCACCAATTCTTTCCATAATAAGAAGTTACGCGGGTAATATAGGTTTATTATTTACGCAGACGAAATCGTGGGAAAACAGCTAGTTTATACTCATTTTGAGAAGATCACAGACTTAATTGTTTGTTTGCATAGAATAAACTTCGTAACTACTGAACCAATTTAAAAATTTCTTTCTCCTACGGGTAGGTACATCATACGAGGTTGACAGGGCCGGATTAGCCACGTAGCAAAAGTAGCAAATGCTATGGGCTCTGCGTGTTTGGGGGCCCCACGCTATAGTTCCACGTTATAGGGAGCCTAGCTATAGTTCAGAGCCAATTAATAATTTTTTCAAGTCAGTGTCAAATAATGCAAGAAATAAAATAAGCCACGCTTCTGACTAGTCATATTTTTAAGTATAAACATAAATTGACAAATAAAACTCATGTCACATGTTAGTAGATATGTTGTGTTATTTGGGCCCCGCTCTAGCTTAATTCGGCACTGGAGGTTGACATAGGTTATAATCTACGTGTGCAAAATAAGAAATAACTAGCGTTATATAAATTTAAAGGAAGCATTACAAGCAATAATCAACCTAAAAAAACTTACCCAATAGAAACAATTCTGCGATAACCTCCGCTTCCTCATCAGCCTTCAATGTGGCCTCTTTCAAGCAATCCCTTATTCTATGTGGATCGTACATTTCCGCCAATTTCTGATGTTTCCTGTGCAACTCCTCGTAATTCATTTTCATTTGAACGATTGTTGAGATTCGGTCAATCACATCAGTCTTCAAATCGTCCAGCATTTGTTGTTTGGTTATATTGTCTTGTGCTATCTCTTCTATGCTGCACATTAGCTCTTCAGTTTCCAAGTCTAATTTAATCAGTTTAGGATTGTTTTCTAAAAGTTTATCCTAGAAACAGTTTGAAATAAAAAATAAATTATCTCTTTAAGTGTCAGTATTTCAGTTGGGATTAGTATTTGTTTATTATCATATTCCTAATCTTCAGCAACTTTTTAACAAGTAATTCTAAGCTTGATAATATTATAGACACTGTTTATAATAATTATACAGTATACAAAGCTAACAAGCCTTTTAAATTTGTAAATGAAACAAATTTATGCTTTCGATACAATAAATAAAATGTACTCTATTACAACGTAAAACAATTTAATATTATAAAAAGTCATAATTTAATTCTCGCACTATGCATTTGTATTTTTTCTGTATTCAGCGTGCTGGTAGAAATTACAACTTAAAATAGAACAGGGGCATGTACAAATGTCTTCTAAAATTGTGTGTTTATTTGAATTGTTAAATCAGCACGGGCGGCTTTTAATCTTTTCAGCAGGCCCTTAGGTAGAAAAGATTCATACCACCATTGATGACCGGCCAAATTGTCTATGGGCCTGTATTAAAAACAAGGGCGGTCATTTCAAATAAAATATATAATAAATAAAATAATTTTATTGTTGATTATTATGTATTTAATGGTTACTGAAAATTTTAGAAATATAAGTTAATTACTTTTATTTCATCTCAAAACTTATGAACACACAAGATAAAACCTACTATATGCATCTCTAATAAGTACATAATTACAATAAGAACACAAATATTCCATGTTTATCAAAGACATAATGCTCATGCCAGTGATCAAAGAAGTGATCACTTCTGTGAGCATATGTTAGGCACCGACATATGATATTTTAAACATAAAATTTATGATGCAATAAGTACACAATATACAATGTTGTAATTTATTCAACTTACTTGCAAATCTGTATTCTCTAGTATCTCCTGTAATTCTTCCACTGTCAATTCGCTCAGTTCCGGAAACAACATCAAATGTGGACTGGTATGTGACTGTGGACTAACATCATTAGTTTTGTCATCATTAGTGACAAGGTTAGGAAGTGAACGTTGGAACTCTCTGATTATGGCTTGTACAATTCGACCTAGATCGGAGTGCTGAGTGTAATTAAGTAGACCTGGAGCTCCGATAACCTGAAACATTTTATATAAATTAAATAAATATATAGTAGCACTGAAAAAGTAACAAGTGCTTGAGGGATTTGTCAGTCCTATTAGTTCCTGACTACCTCAGTGGTCAGGGCTGTAGCCCGGTTTGTAGAAACCTATCTCAAGAGTGCAAGGGGCAACGTGGATTTTTTAACCATGTTTTATTAAGTATACTTGCACAATTAAAAACAGTTTAACGGAATCAAATTTGTACCACAAAACTCAATTTATTAAAGTATAGTGCATAGTAGTGATTAATTCATTTATTCATTCACACCAGAGTAAAACCTAGTCTTGATATTTATTAGATCAGTACCTACTGATAACTGTTTAGATCACTCAACAAATTTCGCATTTAAAATATTACCTGGTTCGAGTTTTCTGCTATCCATGGATGAGGTATAAGAGGATTAACAAATATGGTAGGTTTTTCATTAGGAAATTCCGGGCTCAATATAACGTTTAAGCTCATATCTTTCCCGTCAACTGAAAATTCAACTCTATAATCTGTATTCTCCATTACTTCCACAACATGCTCGTTAAATATTTTCAGTGTATCTATTTGCCTCTTTCTTACGTCTTGTTCATTATAATACGTGCGAGGTAGCATTTTTTCTTTCAGCCTATTTCCTGAAAGATAGAAATGTAAGAAAGTAACAATTTGCACTTGTGATTACCTGATTCGTTTTCGGATTCTCGCAATACTTGAAGAAAGAAATATTATCTTACAGACTTACTTTGTAATTTTAATAAGTCAATTGCATTGATAGATATATAAAATTAAGTCAATTTTCAAAATATATCTACCAAGCTCACGTCGATCGATACAATACAAACAACAGTAAGTTTTCATATATCTGTTCTTGACAGTGACATTAGAAATATTCATCTATGATTGGTCAATATGTCTTGTTACGGTATTTTATACCAATTAAAAATTGTAAAAGAAATCTTTATTAGATCTGCAATAGAAAACTAATATATTGATGACATTTTACTTTTTTACGAAAAAGGCTATAAAATAGTTTTGATTGAGGCTCGCTTTTTATACATATGGATTCTGTTTTTTAAACAAATATATTGTACTTTTACTATCGTATTACCTAAAAAAGTACGTATGTATTTATTTTGTTAATTAAAAACCATTTTTATCTAACAAAATCTGTTTTTATTTTATGTTCCTCCTTGTTTAATATTCTAACGAGTAATACACCCTATTCTTTTTATTACAAACGCTTTATTGTATGCAGGCACAATATTGAAATATTATGATCTTACGCAGAAACTTAAGTTAAATATTGAAGTTTGTTTAACACTTGTGTCATTCAAGCAACAGGTAATTATATAAAAACTCTTGTTTAGATAATATACAAACAATATATTTTAGAACCTAAGCATATTGTCTCCCATTAGTTGTATCTATGCCTACTCAGTAAATTTAGGGCCGATTCTATTACTACCTACGCTACAAAACGGAATGTACAGTCAAATCGTTTTAGTATGCAGAGAAGGGGCCTTACGGCACTTACAGGCGGGTATACTAAATATGAACCCATGGACTATTTCTGTAGCAAGTAGCAAAATATAGAAAACAATAAGGAAGTCACTGTCGTTTATATTTCAGCCCAAATACAGTGAAGATACATGAATCACCCGAAAAGCTATGACCACGTTACTGAAAATATGTAAGATTAATTGCTAGTTTGTACTGAAATTTAAAACATATATTAATGAAAATATTGTTGCCATCTTTTCGGAAAGTTGGGGATTTGAATTCTACAATCTGCGTGAAAGCATTGTGTACTTCTTATTAGAAAAAAAAAAAAATAAGTGAAGTAAAAAATTTACCAAAGCACGAAATGAATTTAATGTTTTAAGTCTCCAAGTACTTAAATAGTAGTCTATTGGAGCAAGCTTTGGCGAGTAGAAGGATAACGTATGGTTTCTAACTACAGCTCCTGCAGAGTTACAAGAGTTTCTCGTACAGTCTGAGGTCTTGCGTTATCAAGATATTCATTTTTCTACTACCAGTAATTTATTTTTGTTTCTTTTAAAATCACGGCGCCTTATTGTAAGTTAACGTTATTTATCAAATTAACCTCAATTCCTGGGTAGTTTTACTCGAATCTGCTTCTGCCATCTCTTTTAATAGAGCTTTATGCACCTTATGGCTAGTCTATCACGAAGTTCGATCATAAATCGAAGTTTCAATTGCGAAAGGTTTTGTACGACGCATTCATTAGCAATCTCCTCTGCGAAGGCAGCATTAATACCACAGACTTATTAATACTTTGATTTGCTACTTCCGCGTTGGAAGTCTTATTCAGTCGCCATTTTTCCCGTCAAAGTTGAATAAAAAAAAAGCAATCGAAAGTCAAAAATCTTATGATGCACATTATGTTTTTAAAACAAAAACCTCATAGTTTTTATTAGTTATTGCTATTATAAAACGGCAATTTTGTACTTTAACCTCTATTAACTGGGATGGTTTTTTGTAGTTAAGTATTATTAGGCAGAGAAGGAAAAAGTGGACACGTTTCTTTTTAACCGGCTTCAAAAGAAGGAGGTTATCAATTCGAGGTTTATGTATGTAATTATATTATTATGGAATAGCGTATATGATTATTAGAATTCTAATTCACGTGTGTAAAATTTTATAGAAGTATGTATGGATGTGTGTCTGTACGTTTGTCCACGGATATCTCGCAAACGAGATGTCAGATTGCAACCATGGATTGCAATGATTCTCTTTTGTTTAATTGCTTAGCTTTCAAACTTAAACTTATTTCAAAAATTTTGTGGTATTAATTGATTCTTTTCAGTTGTTTCTCTTTATAACGACTTTTTAAAGTTGCTTAAATTTTTTCAAAATTGTTTTTTTATTTGATGATTTTTAATTATCTTATTAAGAGGTTATTTCTTTGTACAAAAGCAGTTGAAAGTTAGTGAGTTATTTTGGATGTACGCGCTCTTCATTCACAAACTATAAAATAGAAGAGTTCGATGGCGCAATTAACGCGTTCAGTCTGCGATGCGGAAAATAAGCAACTATGGTTAGAGCCGGTCATAGGATGGGTGGCCAATAAGTTATTATTTTGAGCTCAAGAAGGAACTGGACGCGCTTGGTAGGTTATGAATTGAAATAGGGAACTGTTTGAAAACAGGACATATGACCAAAGGCGGTTTAACCCATTGGAATGTGACTTCATATTTTAATGAAGTCACTTTTCAATAAGACTTCTCTGTGTGAAATAAAACAGGGAGAGAAAAAACAGCCCTTGCTGAGTTTCTTGCCGGTTCTTCTCAGTACAAGGTCTCCCACCGTAGTTTTGCGAACCGATGGCGTAGTTTTCGACTTTCACAAGTGCTCTGTAAAAGCCTAAACTGAATAAATAAATTTTGATTTTGATTTTGATTGGCCCTATGGGCTCGGGGTGGCATGTCCAGTAGTTTCAGAGTTCTCTGGCTCTGAAAATATAAATAATAGGCTCAGAAGCTACTGGATTGATTTTAAAAATTATTTAATGTACGGCAAGGTATCATATATCGTGAGAAACAACTAAGTTATTAATAAAAAAAATAGGTAGTTACATTTCTGTTTAACTAGCTTGAAAACTTTTCTTTATATATTGCTGCTTCCAGACTCTTAGCGCTATGCAATTATTTGCAACCCGCAAAGCTATTATTTACTTATGTCTCTAAATCTGACCGTTAATTACACTGGTAAACAGTATTTTTGTTAAACAAAATCGAGTCGGTTTTTTTAAACACTACTACCTACCCGCATATAAACCTCATACTTAGTTTTGTTCAATCACCCTCAGTTTTCGTTAAACATAAACTAAATTGAATACGGTAATTTTGCTTACCGACGTATGTTTCCGATAAATTAATATTGAATTATTGAAATTAAAACGGTTTTTTTGTGATCGTCGTTTCTGTACATCGTAATAAGATGCCCAGAGTGTGTGTTAACCATTCTGATAACTTTTGTTACATTTGCGGTCAACTTACTATTAAAAGTCAACGTCGTAATTTGACACCATTAGTTAAAAACTGTTATTTTAATTATTTTGGCTTTCCGGTGCGAAATTTGGACAAAACCTGGACTCCTAGTGTTTGTTGTGCACAATGTGTTAGTTTATTAACATCATGGGCTAAAGGATCTCGTCATATGCCGTTTGCAGTTCCAATGATATGGTCTGAACAGAAAGACCATGTATCAGATTGTTATTTCTGCCAAACTTCTATCAAAGGTATTAAGCACAAATCTAGACACACCGTGAACTATCCGAATTTACAATCTGCTCAAAGATACAGTTCTTACACTCTCATTTGGATTTTTTTCCTCAAAATTTGGGAGCCGTTAGTGGCGAGCGATTCCATCAGGATATATTCAACATGGAAAAACGGTACCAAGGCAAGTGGAGTCCGAACATGTTGGCTGATTACTGTTGGACACTCAAAAGAGATGTACCTGACGCTAAATATTCCCGAAAATCCTCCCATCCCATTCAAATTAATTTAACTTTCATTAAGGTCATTTTTGTCAATCAGTGTTATTTATATATTTATGTAGGCTCTTTCTTGTTGAGGAACTTGATGGAGCAGTGGGCAATAGGTTTGATCTGCGATGTGAAAGTTAAGCATCTTTGGCAAGGGCAGGTCATAGGATGGGTGATCAAACATTTTTTTATCTCGAGCCACTCCGTGCTTCGCAAGGCTCATTAAGCCGTTGGTCCCTGCATTAACAGTCGTTAATACTGTCCAATCTGCATTGGGCCAGCTTGGAGGGTCATGGCCCATCCTCCTTAACCAATTATAAGTAAGGCTTGAGTCCTTGCAGTGGTGACGTAAAAGGACTGATGAAAAAAAATGATCAAGCATTAAATGAAAATATCTATAAGGATGAACTATACAATAGGCTTTTCCATACTATAAAAAGAGGAAAATTAGATTGTATGTTCGAATTCATTGAATAGGCTTCTTTCTATATGATGCACGTGATAGAATTAAATTCTTTCACCTGCATCATACGCGGGTGTCATAGGCTATAATTTACACGGGTGAAGACGCGGGAACAGTTACTTATAAATAAGAAATAAATAAACGTATTTAGCACAAATATGTAGGTACCAATAGTTAAAATATACTGAAGTTACGTCACGAAAAAGTCTTTTCGCATATAGTATGCATAAAATTGTAATAAAATCTTTTTCAATGCAGTTGCTCATAAGGCGCTATTTTTTTAATCCATTATAAACACCAAAAGTGAATGTTTAAACACGTGTTAAATAAAAATGTACTGAAATCCTTTACTGCGCACGTGCTTAAAAGCATTTTTTTATTATATTTTTTGGCCGAGCACAAAGAAATTTAAAAAAAAATTGATGAAAATATGTCAAACTTTAGAGGCAAAAAAGTATTTCAAGGAGCCTAGAACGAATATTTTCAAATAAAAATGTATGACACGAAAACATGTTCAAATATCACGTTTAATTTTAACAAATAATTTTTACCTTTAATACATACTTAGTTTTATTAACCTATATATTTGTTTTATTTCCTCGCAAAAAGCATTGAAAAATATTGTAAGAAACTTGAGCGTAAAAGGTTTTTCGAATTCGTGCCAATGAAAACCCTCGCTACGCCCGTGTTTTCAATTTGGCCCTTATTCGTAAAACCTTACTTTCCGCACTCGTATCTTAACTATTTGGCTATACCATTTTTATGTGGCTGTTTTCGATGTCATTAAAAAATTAAAATTTTAAAGAAGATAACTCCGAATTCTAATTAGGAAAATGTGCGTTTTCATTGGTTTTTCTTACTGTCAAAATGAGTGAATCTAATGAAGAAATTGGATACATTTAAAAATATTTATATTCAGCCCTATTTAATGTTGTTGTGTATGTTATGTGGTTTCAACAATAAACGATTTGTTTTTTATTTCTTTCTTTCTTACATTATATTTGATCATTTTTGTAGTTACAATGCTATACTGAAAATATCCTGAATGAAAAATGCTTAAAAAATCCACTTTGTTCCTTGAACTCCAGATCCAGATGGGAACCCACCCATCGCAATTCGGGCGACTGCTCTAACCATTGAGCTACCCAGGACCAAACAAGACTGACGATGCCATTTTTAAAAGTGGAGCAAGATCGACATATCCCTAGTTACGACGTAGCTGAAGAACTGGGGATTGACCACAAAATAGATATTCAACATTAGTCAACAGTCGTGCGTTTATCTGTCCGTTCGTCCATCACATGTCTCTAAAATCAAGATCTGTGGTTCGTAACCTAGAGTTACTACGATTCATTTATTATCCAGAATTATTAGCCTATATCAGCCTTTTGGCATACAAAAACAAGGAGCCGTTAAATACAACAGGACCTAGTTATTTTTATCTACACATCACTTTTGCTATTCTGTTAACCCAAGGAGCTCGATGGCGCAATGGGTAGAGCGATTGGTCTGTGATATGGTAGTTGAGCAACTTTCGCATTGGCCAGTTTCAGGAAGGGTGACCAAAAATTACTGTCTCGAACTAACCATCAATCCGCAGTGGGTCCGCGTAGGGGTTTACGGTCCATTCTCTTTATTAGATTAAATCGAATCTATCCATAGGGAAGGCCTAAGCCCCCCAGTAGCGGGCATATTAATAAGCTGGTGACGATTCAGTAAACAAAATAAGTGGTAACAAAGGTTTTATTTGTTTGAACCTCCATAGTACGACTGCGCTGTGCTCGACGTTATGTTCGATGCTGCATTTTTACAGAATAACAAAGCTGATTATTTTACTTTGATTTTAATAAATTACATTTTACTCTAATTTCGAACATTAGCGAACTTTACGAATTGTAATGGTATAATGGTTGGTATGGAATTTGCTTTTTATTTATAACTGACTGTTTTCCCGCGAATTTACTTGCGTAAATAGCAAAACTATATCCTGTTACAGGCGTATGATGTAGTTTCTCGTAGGTAAAAAATAGCTCCGCAGAGAACACTTTGACAATAACTAGTCCAGACTTAAGTATAGAGTGCGCCGTATAATAATAGGTATACCATCATCGTCTTCATAAATATCAAAATACAAGTTACTTAGTTGCAGCACTACTTACATATTTAATTCGTATTTTTTATGGTACAATAGGTTCTCGAATTCACATAAAAGTCCAGATTTTCCTTAAGTTTTATTTCAATATGTTTATGTAGATACAATAAGTAAACATAAGAATCGAGGTCAGTAGAATAAGTTATAAGTAGACGTGTAGGTAAGTACCAGTGAAGTGAGAGTGCACTTTACTTCACCCTATGGAAGAACCAAGATCGATTCTCATTGAGACTTATTTTTTGGTAATTTGATAATTAATAACGCAAAATAAACAAATGTCTAGGCATTACGAACGAAATGTGTGAACCGATACGAAAAAAAAAATTGGATCTCCATTTGTTTATTATCTGTTTCGATGAACACGGAAACAAAAAATCACGTACGTCTTCTTCAATATACGCAACGGTGCATATTTCATCACGATCGACTACGACTCGCATTGAGACGACCGCGAATATCGCGAGTTAAGTCCACCTCGTCCTCTGCATAGAGGGGATGATCTGCAAACAACGAATTAATCATTTGGCTACTGGCTACATCAGCCCATCTCTTCATTTAAACGTCGACCTCCTTGGAGAACGGTTCAAAAAGTTTTTATTAAAAAAAATAAAAGAAATATTTCCCGTCGCAAAGGACGATACAGATAAACCTTAAAATTCTTACTCTTTGCATAATATATGAGCAACCGAGAGAGCCCGCGGTGATTTTTATGTAATACGCTGTAATAAAGTTATGTAACAATCATTTCGGCCTCATATTTTGGTGGATTGCGATAGTCTTTGCCACGCCATGACTGCGGTCGTTCGCGCGCTTTCCAATTGACAGTTCGGTTGGACAATTTTTTTTTTAATATTTTTACCGTGTGTGCCAGTGTTCTAATATTGCAAAGTGGATTTAAACCGTGGAATTTTGAAAATATATTTTTCTTCTTCATCTGTTGAATAAGGAATCTAAAATTTAGGTGAGTTTACGAAATATTTAATCGAATGTTATATCATTATTGTTTCGTTTAATTTATGCGATATTTCGCCAGTTCTTTTTTGGGGTTTATTAATAAGTACATACTTTCACAGTTAATGTGCGGAATTATACGTTAAGGCATGTCAGTTCATACATTTACCGCGCTTAGAGTGATGTGACCGTCTCGTTAGGATGGATGAAACCGTATTGTTGCCTAATTTTTGCGTTAGATAAGTAAAGTTGTGTAATTTATGAGGTTTGAATACATGTAACCTACTTTTTATCGAGACCTTTAACAATCTTTGTCATTATGCCATGGGAATAATGTCTATAAACTTTTTTTTTACAAAGGTCATCCCAAATTTAAAAGAAAACGAATATGTTATAATTTTTATGACATATTTCCATTTAATAGGTTCATTACATTTGAATCAGACATCAGCCAGTTGCACAAATGTCCGTTAAAATTGTCATTGGTATATATCGATACAAATTTTAAGATTTTGAAAATTCATTAAAATTTAAGTTTGTCATTAAAGCTTAATGGACGTTTGGCCAACTGGCTTAAATGGTACTTTAACATAGAAAACAAAGTTTCTTCTGGACGGAGATCAAACCACGCACCTTTCAATCATCAAAATAATTAATAATGAAAAACACTTATCAAAAAATATAATCAGTCCATAAAAACAACAAACCGTTTTTAAAGCATAATTATTAGCTAAGACTTTTAATAGGTTCATTAAATATTGCAATTGCTTAAGAGGAAACCTAAAGATGTCACTAAATTTTTACTTTGTTTGTGAACAATTAAAAATCTGCACCTACAGACAGGAAATCTAAAATTGGCAGCACACCCACCATATTAGCAATATATTTCAGGCAATCTTGCTTGTAATTTTTCGAATTCAATTTAATTAATTAGCATAGGTATCAAGCACTTTTAAAAGCCAAAAACTATACCAAATATTAAAGCAGCAGACCTTGTACTTTACTGAGAAAAATCTGCAAGCAAAAAATGCCATTTTTTAATCATCCCATCAACGGACCTCATAATAAAAATAAATTAAATAATATTGATAAATAAATAAATTGACATGTACATCCAAAAATAAAATTTCGATTAATTACAGGATAGCGCAATCTAAAATAGTATAACGCCATCTGTTTATTTTAATTGCAATGAAATGGCATCTGACAAGAATGCCTACCTGCTTAATCCAAAGACGGCAAAATGAATGACTTTAAACTTGACCTAGATTCTAACGAAAGTAGATGAGTGTCGCAAATATTACGGAGTATTATTATGTAAACGTATATACATCCTTATTAACTATATGGCCTACATCAAATGTTTAGTAAGGTTTAGTAGTACCTACCTATAAATTAATACTTTACTAGCGGCTTGCGCCGGCTTCGCACGGGTATTTTTTACATACGGATTTCCATCGTTTTTGAAAATATTCTATTGCCTATACATATTTATCCGGGGATAGTGCTAATAGTAAAATATTTCATCTAATTTTTGAGCGTATTACATTCACACAAAAAAAATATCAAATCTTTCTTCCTTATAGTAGTTTATTTCTGTCCAATTAGTGGACTTGCCATAAGTAAGTTTTGAGCATAAAAATATTAGTGTCCCGACATGTGATTTGTCCCCAAAAATAGTGGTACCTTCACATATAGTTTATTTTAATGTTTATATAGTTTTTAATAGTCCAGTTAATAATTTTCTTTTTTTAAAACCTAACGTGAAATTGCCGATTTGACCGGTTTTCGACCAAAAAAATCTAGTTCTCGTCCACCTGCTAACCAGTTTTCGACCTATTTTACCCCTTTTAACACCTTTGGAGAGTCCATAAAAAAAGAAGTTCAAGTTAAAGAATGTTTATGCAAATTTTAAAATAGATTGGACTACGAAATCACGGACTTTGCCTCTGTTTTTCACCTCCATAGGGGTAGAGATTCGGAATACCCTGTCGTATCGGATGCCTACGTCATATAAAGAATACGCCCTTCAAGTTTCAGATCTCTACAATCAGCCAAAGATTCAAGACAAAGCATTTTTTATATGTAGGTGTAAATAATCAGTTCGCTTAACAAATAACTACAACTTGTTTCTTTTCTTTTTAATTCGATTTTAGCAGTCGTGTTTTAACCGACTTCAAAAAGTGACCTCCTCCTTTTTTGAAGTCGGTAAAAACACAAAAATTAGACCGTATGTTTTTATATGTTTGTTACGCGATTACTCCGCATATGTATCGATTTTCAAAATTATTTTTTTATTAGACAGCTTAATATGCCGAAGTGGACCCATTAAGTATTGTATTATAAGGTAATCAGAATTATTATTTTTAATACTCGTAACTTTTTTATATTATAATGTAAATATACTCTTTGTAGATTTTGTATAAAGTTTTTAACTCTTTAAAAAAAATCTCCATTTCATTCCACAAAATGTAATTGACCTACCCATAAATAAATTTGTAATTCATGTAAAGAATATACTTATGAGTAAAGGCTATTATAAAGTTGATGATTATTTTAAGGATCGCAATACATGGCCTTCGCTTTGTTCTATAAAGACTAATTATATGTTCAACCTATGTCCTACAGACTTTGAAAGTTGTATTTATTATTGTGATAATATATATTATTTTCGTAATGACATGATTTATGTAAATGTCATTACTTATGATAAAGAGCTGGTAAGTTTCTTTCGCTTGTTCTTCTTGTCAGCTAAAAGACGTCCTGAACAAGTGGTAGGGGAAAAATTTTTTTTAAGACGATTCAAAAGTGCTTGTAATAGCCTACTTGAATAAAGATATTTTCATTTCATTTCATTTTCTATGGTTTTGAAGTTCTATAGTCAATAAATTTCTCTTATATACTTTTACTCTTTCGTTGTCATGCCCCCGATCCTCGTATTACTTTAGCTTTTCTCAGGATTCTCTATTTCTATTGAACTATAGATAATATATGTTATATTATTTTTTATGCAAGTAGGTAAGTTCACCGATCTCTTCATGATTACGTCGTGCATTTAAATAAAAATTTCGGGCCTCTCGTTGTAAATATAATTTCATTTATATATATTTAATATTTTGGTGATACGTATATAAAATGTTTATATAAAAGTCTCATTAAAAATAATGAAATTAAAACATTTAAAAAAAATTGTGCCAACTTCATATTTAAAGTGATAAATAATACTCATTATATGTTACAAGAAACATTGAATTCGGACGGTTAATATTTAATAAACTTCTAAAAACCTCAACCTACTTGAATAGTTCTCTAACTAAAATTACTTTTTTTAAAATGAGTATTATTTAATTTTTTTTGTTAAATTTGAAGTCAGTACTATTGTACAAATATTTAAATTATTTAATTGTTTTTACAGTAGCCGTAATAGTTTGAGAGTAAGTTTAATTAAAAACGATTTTTGCTGCGTATTTTAACCATTGGCTGTTCCTATTCTCAGATGATAAAAATCGTCTTATTATATAAAAAGTACTAAAGTTAGTACTAAGGTTAAACCATTCGCCGCCTAAAGTAAATTGACAATGACAGAAGAGCCAAAGGCAAATTGGGGCGTTTTGAGTTATTAAAATTCTTGAGTAAATAAATGCGAAAGTTACAGAGAATGGATATTATGTATGTGCGTTACTCTTTCACGTAAAAACTACTGTACAGGTTTTGATGAAATTTGGTATACGGATAAGTGTAAGCCTGTAATAACATATAGGCAACTTTGACACATTAAAGGGTTCCCTGGCTAGGGGTGTAGCTACCGACGTAACAATGATACGGGGTCCCCGGGCTTTATGTTCTAATCTAAGTCTCACCACAAATTTTGATACCGGGCTCCTCCAAAGCACGCTACGCCACTATCCCTGGTAGTCGAGTCATCGTATAAGCTACGCGAAACTGCTTGCAGAGAGCTAGTAATTTTTTAAATTAACGGAGCGCATACACACGCATAAGCCGGATATGTAATTTACGCATATCTACATAGAATTACACAATTTAATTATTAACTACATAAGTATTGTGATATAAGAAGTAGGTACATTTAATATAATTCGTTTTTCTTAATGATCCCTTTCAGATGTAGGGCATGCTGCATCGTCGGCGTGTTACGTTCTGTTTCATCATCATCATCACCAGCCTTTTTACGTACCCACTGCAGGGGCTCAGGCCTTCTTTATGGATGGTTAAGGAGGATGGGCCATGACCCTCCACGCTGGCCCAATGCGGATTGGAGGGTATTAACGACTGCAAATGCAGCCGGGACCAACGGCTTAACGTGTCTTCCGAAGCACGGAGTAGCTCGAGATAATAATTTTTTAGTCACCCATCCCGTGACCGACCCTTGCGAAAGTTGCTTAACGACTACGATCGCGGACCGCGGCGCTTATCCACTACGCCACCGAGTTACTCAACTCGTTCTGTTCATTATTAGTTAATTAATTATTCGTTTTACTGACGCAGAAACAAAAATAAGTCAACAGGTCTCGGTTTAACGTTTTCTGATCTGTCATTGTTAATTTGCTTTAGGCGGCCAATGGTTTAAGCCTGGTAGTAACTTTAGTCCTCGTTTTATAATAAGACGGAAAGGACAATGTTCAGCCCCCATACATTTTTCGCCTAAGAACCTCTAAGCATGTACTATCACTTTTCGAGTTCTAAAGTATCTGTATTTACGTCTAAATACATGTTTAAGTAACGGACACTTCTAAGAAATGTATAAATAATAAAATATTATGGATTTGAGGTTATAATTTTGTACTTACTACAAAAAATTCAAAAGCTTCTAAATATACACTATAAATGCGAATGTTACCGAAAATGGATATTATGTATGTGCGTTACTCTTTCACGCAAAAACTACTGTACAGATATTGATGAAATTTGGTATACGGATAAGTGTAAGCCTATATTAACATATAGGCACATTCCATGTTAATGTCCGTTAAATAAATGCCAATTCGTCGT